GATATAAGATGATAGATAATTTAATAAAGAAATACAAAAAACATGTTTGTAGTCAGTATATATAATAAAAAAAAATTTAAGGCTTTGAACTAACCATAAGTATTCTGAAAACAATATTAAAATTTAATTTATTACTAACTAATGATTAGCAACCACCAACACAGTTTATTTAACAAGTTCAATTCAATTTTCTTATTAAAGGCTTCAAAGCTTGCCATTTGAAGACAGATTACTTGGCCAATGTTTTAACAAGTTTACTACAATTTGATTCTGAAGTAACATGTTTATGTCAACTATCACACACCCGCTAATGATGACATCATGAATATGACATAAGTGAAGATACAATTTACACAGTAAAGGATAAAAACAAACAACATACTTAACTAATAAATCATATTTGAAAACATTGCAATGTGGTCTTTATTTATATATAAGTGTATATAATATATGTATGTGTTTATTAAAACAACAGTTATTATAAATAATAGATATTTATGAATTTATAGTTTAAAAGATTAAAAGTTTTACATTTATTTACAAAATTAAGTAAAATAGTAAAATCTAGTGAGAATGCAATGAAAAGTAAATCTTTGCAGCAGTTTCTTGTCAACTAGTCTTAATTGAAAAGGCAAATACAAAAATTTCTTGAGCATTTAAAAGACGCCAACAATAAAAAACATAAACAGATTATATTAAGTACAATTCTTAATTTCTTACTATCAGAATTCAGAAGTTTGTTCACAATTTCATGTTCAAAATTGAAAAAGCAATACATAACTGATTCATGTTATTACGGTTGGTATGTGCATGAATATTTTAGAAGCTAAATACGTTATATTAAGAAATACAGGTCAGTGACTTAATATTTTATTTTGCCCTTCCATTTCAATCGGAATTATTAGACCTTGTTAGGCGATTAGTCATCAAAAACAAATCGGCGCAACTATAACGTTTTAAATATGACGTTTGATTTAACAGTAGTCAAGAACAATGAAAGTAATGAAAATTCTACCAAATTACTAATAATTCTTATCCTCGCTACTTAATATATGAGTTGTAGATACAAAATGATAAAAGAAAAAATGTTTCAAATGACCAGCGCAGAGCAGAAAATGGCGTTTAAGTTTTAATGGTTATCTCTTTAATATTATACCAAATTTCGAAGGGAATTAAAAGCAAGCACATTTAGCACTATATATACTAAATTCATCAGTCGAATGTAACTTTAACAAAATAGAAAAGTTAAAAAATACTCACCTTTCTATTAAATTGACAGCAACACACAGCACTAGAAATTCACTGTTACATCCAATGTTACCAAATCTAAAATCATGCCGTAACTTATAGATAATAAATATTGTTGTACATATATAAAATGAAAGTTGAAATATAAAAAAATGCTAATCAGTTACGTATTTTAATATTTTTTATTGTATTTTCCAGTATTTTTTGCCAGAAAATATCGCATCGTCTTTAAAATTAATATATTTAATCATTCCAAAATCCATATCTTCACGTATCTCAAATTGATAGTCCTATCATTCCGTCATAAAGTTTTAGTGATGATTTGGTGGTCATTGACCACTGGTCAATGTATTTTCTTAATGCTGTGATCCCGTCGGACTGAACACCAAAGTGAGCTGTGATTTTTTTACTAGCTTTAATGGTACATCACACTTATGATGGCTCATTTGTAGTTGTTTATTTAAGAAGAGGGTCCGAAGCACACAGTGACTCCGTTTAAACCCCACAAACCCTCTTGGAATTTGGAAATTTTGTAGGAGAGACGAATTATTATTACAGGAAGTCAGAGATCTTTGTTGGCAGCACTGCGAATACTTAATAATAGCATTGGTTTAGGCAACCGTTAAAGTGATTTACTAACTTGTGGTATCTTATCGAAATATATAGAGATTTAAAGTGCGATAACGAAAAACCTAATAAAATTCGATCTCATCGCTATCAAAGTTTGAAGTTATTCTAAAAAGATGTTTTTAGTCACAAAAGTCTTGTGGATGTTTTTCGATCTAACAATAGCAGTGTAAAATAAATACACGAACTTAATTGTATCTTTATTGGTTGAATTGAATTCCGCGACTTACAAGTACACACACGACTTACAATGACATCGCTTGTGTTGTGGTGGATTTGATAAAGTAGTGTCATTTTATTACGAAATCATATTTTACTGCCCTCTCATGTTATTGCCTTCTAAAGGCTCAAGAATCTTGTGGGCTTGTGTTTATAATGATCAATCCTAAATCCTAGTTGCCGTCTTCTTACGATTAATAAAAACAAATTATGCGCCATTATATCGTACACAAGGCGGCCAGCTCCTGTTGACCATTTTTTTTAACATAGGCGTCGTCGCAGGATCGCTTACATTCTTTACCACGATGAAATTGCTAGATGCTAATGAGATTCCTTAATGATGTAGACATCTGATTAGAAACGATTTTTCGAAATTCTTCTCTTAAGGGTATAATAAATTTATATGGGCAAAAAATTATTTATGATCAGAATTTGAACTTGAAACTTGGTATTAATGTTCTTCAATACAATTAATAAATGCGTGTTTTAGCATTTTTGAAATTCAATCCTTAAAGGGGTAAAATTTGTATGAAACTCTGTATTAATTTGTAAAAAAAACCACCTGCACACGATTTAAGAGTTTTAAAATCACTTTCTTTAAATTGATGTCCACACAGCCATAAACGAAATATAATAAAGATTGTGATTTCGCCAATTTTGGTCTTATTGCTTTAAGCCCACAATTTATAATTTTAATCAAATTTTAAATAAAATAAAAAAAAACCATTCACGCTATGGAGCCTTGTAATATACTGAGGGCCATAGTGATCTTGACATCTGGCGGGAGCAAAAGGCAAAATTCTTCTCCATTCGGTACTTGACGAATTCTTAAAATGCTATTATCCAATTCGTAAGTAGTCATGACAGATGTCAAATAACAGAAGAATCAAATTGAATTTCGGTAAATGTAAATTGAAATTCGTCATCGTTGTTCGTTAGTGATTCGACTTACAATTTAGAGTTGTTTATTACATATAAAAAACTGGTAAAAACCGTGCTGTGAACATTTTGAAGATTGTAGTGCATCTATGTGCTGGATAAGCTGTAAATAACTCAGTTTTTCTGCATGTGTTTAACTCAAAAGTATTAAGTAATGAACTTTTAATGATTAACTCATAACTAATTCAGGGTGTAAACATGCTTAACAATGCATAATTCTGGTCCAGGTATATACATTCTAACCGTAGTTTGGTTTATTTGTCTCTTTCTGTGCTGGGTGTCGGTACGTACAGGTGTCTATTATGTTGGGAAGTTATCGTTAGCCGTCTCGATTATTTTAACAATTATTTTAATACTACTGCCAAAAGAGGAAGAAGGGGCGTCCGGTGCCAATTTTTATGACAGCTACTTTGTTCCTCGTTCTTTGACTCTTATTTTTTTGATTGTGAGTCTTGTGATTAGCTGCATTTATTTTTTCATTTATGTATTTTTATCACCTGTGGTAACTCATCGAGTTCGATACATTGGTAAACATAATTAAGTGCTTATAGCATCACTGGTAAGTGTTTCAATTGGTGTTGTTTGTTATTTTTACTCATTTTTTTTACATTGTTATCATTCTCAATCATTACAATTTCTAACAATGTTGCTCATATACTAACTTTGTGTTAAGCAAATAACAACTTAATATAAATTAAAATATACAACTGTTTTTAACTATTTCATCTGGTACATAATTAAAGAAGTTTTAAGTAAACAAAAAATATCTTTTCGTGATATGAGAACTATTTTTAATGTTAACATGTTAATGAAATAGTAATCTATATAAGAACAACACATATTCTTCTTATAATACATTAAAGGATCCTTTAATTATATGTGTAAATTATTTATTGGGCTTGGCTTATTATATAAATAAATATATTATTTATATCTTAGTTCTTTTTAAATATATATTTAAATATTACACTTTTATTGTGCAGTAGTTAACATAATTGACAGCATTGTTTATACATATATTTTATTCAACATAAAATATAGAATTAGACGCCTTCTGAGATTTACTTATCACTAACTGATAAGGATAACAGTCTCATTTTGTCTAATTCAGTTATCTCTTAAACAGTAAGTTATGTGCAAGTGTTATTTTATAATAATATAGCAGTAATGTTATATACTTTATTTGTAAATGCTCTTATTATTTATGTAATGTTTTAATTGGAATGTTAAAATATAAAAATTAGTTGTTATAAAATAAAATCATATTATATTATAACTATTTTGTCTTTAATTTTTCTGTGTTAGTAAAATATATACATGTAATAATTATATATAAACTAGCGACTCACCCTCGCTTCACTCAGGATCATCCCTAGGTACATTTTCATTTTTTTGAGCGGAACCCTAATTCTTTTTCTAAAATAAAAGTATCCTATGTTACTCCCTATAATATCAGCTATCTTCCAGTAGAAGTCCCGTCAAAATAAGTCCACCCGTTTCAGAGATTATCCGGAACAAACAGACCGACAGACAAAAATTTAAAAATATGTGTTTTTCTTATAAGTGGCATATATAATTTCATATGCATTTAGTAAATCGCTTTTATTTTGACATTACAAACAGATACTTCAATTTTATTTATATGTATAGATTTTTTCTCTATTAAAACTTTCCGTGTATCTTTGAAAATATGAAAAAATATAAGCTGAATTGGTCGAGCCGTTTTTGAGTTTTGCGCTTAGCAACATTAACATAGAATTAAAAAATAATTTATATTTATTATTAGTTATAAGAGATATCATTTTAGTGCTACAAAAATTCAAACACATTTAATACAAAGTGTCTATTTCATATTTGCAAAATAAATATAGCAGTCAATTGTGGTTTTTACACAACAAGGATATTTTGTTCATTTAATTTCCTTTTCTAAAGCTTGTATTCTAAAATAAATAATATTTCAGGTAACAATGAGTAATGCAATCTACCAAGGACTGCGGTCACCTATCAGCAAGCTTGCAGGACTCAGGAAAGCAAAGCAAATATCTACATCCATAGTACACAATGAAACTATATTAGTTAAAAACAATAACGAGTTTGTCAACAAGGTGTGTAGATATTGTTTTACATTTATTCCTTCTAATATTATATATTTACTATTTATAATATATTTTTACTAATGACTATTGCTAAAAAATCACTAAATATGCCTGGCAAGTTTTAGTGTTATATTGTCATATGTTTTGTTTTTGCATTAATATTCTCTTTTTTCTCTTTTTATATTTTTATGCATTGGTTTTTTGAAGTAAAAAGAGAAAATGTATCAAAAAAAAATTCACCTCACCAATTTGATCACATTTAGTTTATGGGAATTTAATATGGTACATGTTGGCAATGGTGTCTAGGACAAAAGATAAGTTTTAACTATCCTGTTTGAAATCGAACTTTTAATCATCAGGATATTATGCAATACCAGTCCATCAAGTTTTTATGTTTTATTTTATGCATAGAGTTCTGAAATTTATCACAAAATTTTAAAATTTTGTGTACTAATGTATTTTGATTTGACGTGTTTAGCTTTTTTTTTAAAAAAGAACGATGTGCGGTGCTTCTGTGAAAACGAAACTTTTTGTCTTCTATGTTTAATCGATGATCAGTCATTAAGCTTGAATATAATAAAAAACATTTTAAAATATTTTATACACACTTTGCCCTTCTTACCTTTTAAGTTGCCCAAAAATACTTTTCGGCATCTTCATAAATCATCATCAAATGCTTGGTAAAACAAAGCTCACTGTTAATTTGATCTTGAAAATAAAATTTGCGTGTTAAAATACGAAAAAAATGGGTACACGAAAGTTTATATAAACAAGCGGTTGGAGATTTTTGAGATAAGACCCATTTTTATTTATAAAATAACCTGATGATTTACATAAAAGTAATGCAAAATGTTAAAACAGTGAAGCTGCAGCGGTTTTCTATTCATGAATTTGGTCTAGATTCTAGAATCTCGATGATCTACAGTACGCATATTCCCTGTCGTAACAAGTGAGTTCTAACAAAAATAGTATGTGACGTCAATAATCGTGGTAAAAATAGCGCAAATATATACATTAATACGTTCAGTATTTTACATTTTCCAAAGCCAGTGTATTATTCTTGCTATTTATGTACTAGTCTAACTTGTAAGTGCCCGCAGCTATGCCCTCGTAGCATAATATTTATTTATCAACATATGTATATGTAATAAAATTGTAACTGATCGCTGTCTGTACATGGAAGACATTCGAGAAAAACTATTATTGGGGGTCTTTATTAATGCAAAAGAACCCAAAACAATGATTTTTAGAATTTTTGTTTGTTTGTTTGTATGTTTGTGCCGCTAATCTCGGAAAAGCCTTGCCTATTTGTTTGTCGTTTTCACTAATGTATCGTGGTAAGCTTCACTTAACGTTTTAGTATTTGTTTTATTTCAATCGGTTCATAAATAAAATATTTATTTCAAATGAAAGAATCGTGAACCCAATCCAAACGAGGGTGAGTCGCTAGTTTATAACTATACTTGTCTCTAGCAGGACACAGGAATTTAATATAAGCTAACGATATCTTTTAAGCCCTCTTAATTCGACCCTGACACAAAATCCGTTCTTTACTGACGTCTTCATTTCTCTCTATAAACAATTTACTTTTCCAGCTTTATAGATCAAGTAGTTTTTGAGAATTTGGAGAAAATAATATTGTGTGTTTCTAAGAAAATATTATTTTGTATTTAGTCGGTTGTGTCGACCTGTCGCTTTGGTAGGTGGGTTTAAGGAATAGCTTGTCGCTATTTCGTTTAAATGTTTTTTTTTCGACGGACTTTATAATGTTTCATATATCCCACTTAATTATTATGTAACTCAGTTAATCAATTAAAATTTCAAAATATACTAGGAAAATTTAAAACGATTTTAATCCAATGATGCATGACATCAAAACGTGACATCAGAAGCTGTGTTAATAGATTTGTATTATTGACATTTGTGTAACTTACCCACTTTATGGTGTTTGATGAGAGATACCTTTGTTTTTACATAGCTTATGAGTCGTGACGAAATTCTACATGCGCGTGATTATCGCGATAGTAGCGACTCACTCTCGTTTCGCTCGGGTTACTTTCTAGCTTGATGCCCTATACAAACTTACATCCCCATTTTCACCCCCTTAAGGGATGATTTCCGGAAAAAAGTATCCTATGTCCTTCCCCTGGGAATATTATATGGTAAGAAAAGTAAAATATGGTAAGAAGATAGTTTGAGGTCCTGGCCTCAAACTATCTTCTTACCATTTTTTTTTAACGTTGGGAAATGCATTTACGCACGACGTGTGGGACTCACCGGCGTAATACAGCCAGTACTACCCACTAAAACCCAACAAAACCTTCCCCCGTCATAATGGGGCGTCGCAGGATCGCTTACGCATTCAACTACGACGCCCCGACGGCAGGTCTGCCAAAGCAGACCACCACAACCATGGGGTTGCTCCAAGGTCCACTCTGCTATCAGAGAAGTACCAGGAGCAACCCGCAAGGTACACCGCCCCCCGAAGAGGGCCACCTCCCACTGCCCACCGAAGTGGGCATCCTCCCTGTGCGTTTCTTAGCTTCGCTACTACTACTGAGCCCCCCCACCACGACAAGGTGAACGCACGTTGGGGGGGAAACTATCTTCTTACCATATTTTATCTAAATCGGTTGTGTAGATCCAGAGATTACCTCCTACAACGTTACAAACTCACAAACTTTACCTCTTTATAATATTAGTATAGATTTTAATAGTCATTAAATATTTTAAATAATTAAATAGATGCAAGTACCTTATTTGGTAAACATCTAAAATTCTTAATTCTTCACTAACAAGTAATGAATCAATATGACTAGTATCTTTGTTTAATGTTTCAAGTCTTCCATGAATTTATCTCGGGTTTATTTAAAACTAGCGTTTTCCCCGCGGCGTCGGCAATTCAATTAAATATTCTATAAATAGCTTATGTGTTCCTCTCATGTCTAAGCTATATTAATGTAAAGTTCCATCAATATTCGTTCAGTAGTATTTGCATTAAAGAGTATAACTATATATCCATACATCCTCATCGCACTCATAAATAATAATATTAGTATCATAGAACAAAATTAATTTTCAATTAATTTAAAATTATTTTTATTTACTTTGAATTGCGTTCACAGCATAAGTATATGTAATTTGTGAATTTTTTTCTACTTTAATTATGTGTTTCCCTAAAATAAATAAAATAATATAAATTAAAATATACATAACGTTAGTTATAATTCTTACAGGTCATGAACAATGACAAGCCAGTCATAGTCAACTTCCACGCAGATTGGTGCGAGCCCTGCAAGATATTGACGCCGAAACTCAAGGAGCTGATAGAGCCGCTCACCAACCTGGACCTGGCCGTGGTCGATGTGGAGGATAATGCAGAGCTCGTGCACGCGTTTGAGGTGAATGTTAAATAGACTTCGGTCAAGTGCTAGTAGGATTAGCGTACTAAGAGTTTTGTACCATGGCATATTAAATTTGTGTTATATATATTTACAAAAATAATTTTAATTTAATATTAATCTAGCGACTTATTGTCTAATAGTAACCTTTGTGTTAATCTAGATCAGAGTCTATCTGTACTAGATTTCTTCTTAATCTATCCAGCCAATTTTGGCGTGAAGTTCGATAGTGAGTGAAAACCCCTTGCGTGAGTTCGATCATAATTTAACTGTTTTACCATTATTTGTTGAGTATCTCAGTGTACCTAAGCACCTCAATATACACAGAAGAGAGAAGAAATAGACACAGAAGAGAGAAAAAATATAGAAGAAACATGAGGCCAAACAATGTTATAAAATAATGGTATAAAACTGTATACAAATATTAATAGAATATTCATTACTTTGATAAGTAAATAAATTTTAATAATTAAAAATAGCTGATGGGTTTTATTACAATAAAGAAAAAAAATGAAATAAGCAAATATTATGCTATCTCTCTTTCAAGGAGACGAGAGAGAAGAGAAGTTATACTTAAAAATAAAAAAAAAATATTTTTTAAGCTATTGCATAGCTTCTATCGCGGGCCTTGAGCGTGGGGACCGAATCCAGAAATTCCGTAACGAAAAAAACCTGACACCCCCCACTCCGACCGGCACAGCGGTGATACTTTTTAGTTTTTCCATCTATCGATAAATACCAGAACTTTTAATGACTTTTTGAAATATCACGCTTGTCTCTTTAGTTCAGCAACCCGCCTTTAGGTGGCATTGGTTGTATTGGAAAACTACCGTAATCAGCTGTTTGTGAGAAAGTATATAGGTGTATAGGTATTTATCATCTATGTACAACAGTGAATATCTGTACTCGTATAATTTGTGTACAAAGTGTTTTAAATATGAATAAACAAAGTGCATTTATTAATGAAGAAAGTCAAGGAAAAAAATACTGCATTAATAAAATAAATAAATAATTATAGTTGCATAAGTTGATAAAAAATGCTTTGCAGTAGCTTTACCGCGGCAGTCTCAGAGTGCCACATTTAAATTTTTTTATTATTTACATTTTCTTCTCGAAAATTGTAAATTAACGACTAATTCCTGTATAAAATTTTCCTTTTTCTTTGAAAAAGTAACAACCTGTATGTCAAAAGCGAGAATAGTAGCATAGAACAGAGAATAAACATAAAATCACGCTACTATTTTTTTGCGGGCTCTGTCTGTATAATTGTTTAGTTTGAGCTGAGTTTTACTAGTTACTACGTTTTATTTGATATACACCCAAAATAGCCTAGTTATAGTTACATCACTACTTTACTTATAACTTGAACTATAGTGTAACAAATACTCTCTACAATATAGTATAATTTAAAATAATTTATCTCCATTTTTCAGGTTAAAGCAGTGCCAGCAGTTATAGCGATAAAAAATGGCCTCATAGTAGATAAATTCATAGGACTCGTCGACACTGACATGATCAATAGTCTCATAGAGCGGATGTCCGGCAACAAGAAAGATGGCGCGTAAATTACAAAATATGCGAATTGACTTTTATTTTTGGATCTTGCCACTCTGTTTATTTATACCATAGGACAATGACTTTGGAAGTGTTTAAACAACAATCATTATTTTTATTAGACAATTTTGTTCATAATTACTTATTATATTATTAATTTTATTAGAATAAATATTACGTAATGAAGGGTACAACGGAGCGTACATAATCGAGTGACAATATGAAAGGAAGCTGTTTAGATGTACGAGATGGTAAATTTAACATTGTGATTCATAAAACCCCAAAATATAAAATATTGACGATTACGAATAATCGATTTATTTTTTAATCGATTTATGTATATCGTGAATAAAAATCGAGTAATCCTTCAATCGTCCTATTCGTCCAATATTAGTAAAATTATACACAGAGCGCACTTCTTACGTATTACAGTTTAATTCATCTTCAAGAACATTTTTTATATAAATTTATAGATTGCTCATTATGAAATAATGTAAAAACTAGTATGTTAACAACACAAATATATACAATATTATATAGTGAGAGGAGGTTGTTGCTTTTAGAACAAATATTATTATTTAAATAATAAAATATGCAATACTTGCTTTTCCATTATATTATGGACTTTCAGCCAAAGAATTCAATGTAGCTCAAGTACTATTATTTTATATAACGCTATTTTTATTTTTTATTATTGAAGAAAAATGTTATTTTAAAATAAAAATGCCTTTTTCGTAATAAAAAATTAAATTAGAAATAATGAAGTTGTTAAATATGAATAATTTTGATTAAATTTGAAAAATATTATCTGTCACTAATTTGCGCGGGAAAATGTTACCTTGATGGAAGTTTTTTTTATTTGTCAATAACACTGGCACAAATAAATTATCTGTTCTGATACAATGTTTCTTTCATATCTTAGATAATTTAATGTAATATATATTATAATTATCTGGAAATATACAGCAGCTTGATATCTTTATAATAATATACTTAGTTTGTAAGTGATTTGTAAATAAATTGTTTAAAATTATTGTAAGACTTATTCAAAATATGTTATTAATTCAATAAAGTTTAAATTTGTATTATGAATTTATTTTCTTCTTTCCTTCCTATAATTTTGCTATTTTCTGTTTTTTTTTTGTAGATTAGCTAGCTGTAATGTCTAAACACATATTATAGTTAAGTTATGCGAATGTTTGATTATTACGAATTTATAAAAGTATTTTAGAAACAAAGTATCGGTAGAGCTTAAGGAAAAATCCAAATGGATTTAATTTAATATCAACTTTATTCTATACGATAGACTTAGAGCTTTTTAGGTTAAGTTGGAAACTTAGAAGTAGATGATAGAAGATGTTACATTTATCATATCCTACGCTACGCTTGTCAAAAGCTTCATATTTTTATCTATTATACAATTGTGCTAGTTTTAATCTACAATTCAATGGTCCATTTTTCATTAACCTACTGATTCCAGGGTGTCGCTTCATAGATAAACCTTTTAGGTGCTTGAATGTCCTTCCAATTTATCTGCATTTTAATAGTATAGTTATTGTACTGTGTAGATATTCTGATGCGCATGGAGGGGGGTGTATAATGTATTACCAACCCTATGATAAGGGTGCAATTGGTGTCTATGGATAAAATACACAAAAAATATCAAGAATAAAATAAAAACCGCCCAAAATGGGGACTACCATTTAAATAAAATTAACGTGCATTTAATATACAATGCATTAATTGTTAATAATTCTCAACTTTTACTTATGGCGATCTTTATCTTCAAATATCTCGGAAACGTAGCATTTTGCTACATAATGCTGATATTATTTGTTTGTGTATTTTATTTATATAATATAGCCTATAGCTACCAGTTTCATTGTTCGCCAGTTTAGAAAAAAATGGCACAAAGGTTGAACCCTCTTTATGGTTCGAGTCTTAGACCTTTAGCGAATTATATAATAGAATACCCAAGCTTTTAAATTTTTCATATGTAGTGGATAACGAGCTTAGGTATTTAGGTTAATTTTTATGTTTGGACCATATTCGGGTCCACAGAAATAACTTGGATATTTGAAAAAGTAATACGTTGAATCTAACGTCCTGGCCGCCTCAAATTCCCCTGTGATTTTTATAATTATGCTAATACATTAATACTAACAGCCTAAAATAAATAGAAAATGTCAGTGTGCAGTCAACATACAAAGTGTTATTATCATCTATAAATTATTTATAAAATATTGAGTCTAAATAACACACAATATTCTGAAATTTCTAAAAAATAAAATTGTCTTATACTTTCTGAGTATAGTACATTTTATAGTCTATAGTTAATTTAGAAAAATAATTAAATATCACTTATTATAAACCTTAACACGCACATAGTTGTTTATACAATAAATATATTTTTTCCGAGAATGATTTTTATTTTGTCCTATGAAACACCATTCGACTTTATCTTTAAGGTATTTTTATATATAATTAGCGACTCACGCTTGCTTCACTCAGGTTCGTTCCTAGTGAAAAACAAATCTATCCCACGAGAACTTAACTTTTTCCGAAATAAAAAGTTACCTATGTGCTATTCCAGGCTATCTATCTCTGTGCCAAATTTCATCCAGATCCGTTCAGCCGTTTTGGCGTGATTAATAAGTAACAAACAACCATCCATCCAAACCTTCGCATTTATAATATTAAATGGGATTTCTAAACAGACAATCAAAAGCCATTGACTTGCTTGTAATAACAATAAACACAACAAATTTTCGACGATTTGGGATTTTGGGTTTCAGAAAAACAAAAAATATTCCATGTACCACTTTATTTCAGGATACTTTGATATTAATAATGTATTATAATATAATTCAACGTCTACCTGCGGTTTTCACTTTATATCTAGCGAGAACATCCACATTTCCTTTACAATCAAATACAATCGAAGCTAAAAAAAAATAACATCGAAAATGACTGTACACATACATGATTCATTATTCCCTAATTCCTCGCAAATCATTGAGAACATTCAACAATTATTATATTGTGCAATTTATAATTAACATTTATTTAACGATAATACAAATAAAATTCTTTGTATATTAATTTTTTATTCAGCCGATTTTTTATTTTTATTCTATTTAATATGTTAGAAATTATGTTGTTCTATGAGTAATCGGCTGATAAAAACGTTAAATTCAACAAAGACATACATCTTCTACCTCCCTACCTCTAGATGCGCCCTGGTCGTATTTAAATCACAATAGTGTTTATTCATACTGAGAAGTTTATTCATCAGTCACACATACTTATAATTCACTACGAACAGCCGATGAAATTCTCTTTTGCACTTTAGAATGCCTTGAAAATTTAAGAATTTACAATATCGCGAATTCGTCAATTTTTATTTATATGTAGGTAATATGTATACTTTGTAAAATGAATTACGATTTATGAAAAATTTTATTACAAATACTTACAAATAGCGCTTTCATTACAGAGAAAGTGTACAATTTTTAGAATGAGTAGAGCGGAACTATTTGGTAGATAATTAAACGTTTTTGGTACAAGACAGGGCGCATCTATAGATTTATATCTTTGATACACAAAAGATTTAAGAAATTTAATGTACAACGTTCATAACGCATAGTGTTGCTCGTAGCGTTGAGAAAACACATCTTTGTGGACGGATTGTGCTTTCCGATGCAAGTTCGGTACTTACATAATTTATTTGCAACAAAATAAAAAGTTTTTTTGCAAGTGTAATAATGTACAATGTTTTAAAATTAAGTTAACATACGGGTTATTTTAAAAAAGTGCAGGATTTTTGGAATAATCGGTTTACGCAAAGTCATGGAAATACATACTTATTGAGAATTTACATAATTAACTATAAGATCACATCACATCAAGTTTTTATTAAAAAAAAAAAACAAAAAAAAACGTATCACATTAATACTCTGATAAAATACAAAAATAAAATAACGAATGAAGTGAAAACCCGCGGTCCATAAGTACACGGATATCGAACACCCTGAAGAGCTCTAACTTAGAAGTCTAACTACGATCAGAGGTCGCGAGTCGCGACACGCTCACGATTATACAAAATCAGTCTAAAATATATTAAGGCAACTTGCGAACAAATATTCTGTACACGTTTCTAAAATGGCGGGACAAATGATAGACTGAGAACGGGGAATTAATTACCTTTTAGGACCACATGCGCCATATTCTTAATTTCGTTTAACTCAATTCAATTCTCTTGTTAATTAATGGCTTCAAAGCGTGCCAGTAGAGCACAGATTACTTCGCCAATGTCACGTGGAAAATTTGATTAAAATGTCAAAATAGAAAACGTCAAATAGCATTGTTTGACGTTTGCTAAATGTCAAACAAATCTGTTTTATTCTATGACATGGGCGAAATTTTTTGTTCTCAATCGGAACACTTTAGTCAAGCTATTAATAAGACAATTGCATTGATATTTAAATCGAATGTAAGAATTTAACGCAAATAGCCCTCAACGTTGGAGTTAGATAAAAAACAAAAGGATTTTTTTGGGAAATAAATGTAAAGATAGAACACATAGTATCGACAAGAATGCGAACAGACATTATTCTATATATTTAAATCGCCGTCTTAAAGTTCAATTGATATTACATTATGAAAAAATTTAAAACTTTAAAAAGGTGTATTGGTATTAAAAAAAATACTTTTTAATATAACATCAAATTTTAAGATAATAATTCATAGAACTAAAAATATAAAAAAAAAAAACTTTTAATGATCTTAGCTTGAAACTTTAGACGACGATAAGTACAATTTAATAACACAAATTGTGATTAAATTTATTTCAATAAATATTACAAACCGGACTCGGAAGTATAATTCAGAAACTGGTATAACTTGTAATAATTTTAATTTATTATTATGTAAATTCAATCCACGTCGCCGGACTGACAATAAACATCGAGCGTACAAACCATTGATATATAAAAACAGATACACATTTCACATCGATGTGTTACGTTAAGTGAAACCAAAGAATAAAATTAAAAAATCCAAAGTTCTAATTGTCTAAACACAAATTCGAACTTACGCACACCACATAAAGTACTTTTTTAAACGTAACAATGTGCACTTTAAATAAATTTTAAGAAATATTATGTGAAACAATGTGCATTTTATTTTTGTCATCCAAAAAGCAATGAACAAAAGATATAAAAAAGGCGCAATTCCATTTCGATTTGTGCGCTTCATTTTGAGGACACTTTTGCGTCGCTAATTGTCTATCTTGAGTTTTTGTATATCAATGGCACAAACGAACAAAAAATACAATAAAGGGATATAATATTTAAAATCGTACGCTTTTAATAGTTTATATCAACACTAATATTTTAAAAAATGTTTAGATTTAGAATTTCCGTATATAATTCAAACGATCTTGGACAGTCTAATCCATTTAAATTCGTAAAACTCAACGCGAGACGCTTACTTTTAAATGATACGTATTATATATTATAATAAATATTTTTTTACCAACAAATAACAGCGAAACGTACAAATCGTACACACGAGCGATATTATAGTCTGAGAGACGTTCGTGAAAAGAGTGATATATCCAAAAACATAAATTTTAATAAAAAGCTGTTATTATACAGCATTTATTTTTCAATTAAAAAAAATTGATATTTTGATAGGTAACCTCTTTCAAACGACCGCCTCTCATATTATATTTGTTTACAAACACCACGACATTTAAGGACCAATCAAAGCGACATACACTTTATATTAAAAACAAATTATAAAAATCTTAAATAAACTTGAATTAATTACTCCATGTTTGAATAATCAACTTTTTTTATATACAACAATAGCAATAAGTCGTGTGTACTTCGAATTATTATAATACATATTTTTTGGTGAGGGACTAAAAAAATTTTTTGGGAGAAAAAAAAATTGAACTTAGAAATAGTGAAAAAATAACAAAAAAAAATTAAAATAAAAAAATCCATACACTAATATTTAGATACATTTTTACATTATGTACAGATATTTACAAGGTAAACAGAGAAGCGATAGTATATACACTTGGGTTTTGACTCATTAAATGTCATTGTTCAGTTCATGTACAAACAAACTTTAAACTACATTTATACTATAATTATTAGGTTTTTGTCTGGCGATTTTGTATTGGTTTTTTTGATATTTACTAGAATAAATATACTTATATTACAGACAAAAAAGGCCTCTGGAAGAAATGGAAGGGCCTAAAGTGTTCACAAATAACTTATATCTAACATAAAAAAAAATTAATCAATTATTGTTAAAAAATATTTTTAATTTTCAATAAAATCAAATACCGGAACATAACGAATGAGTATAAATTATTAAATCAAAACAAAATATTTTAAATGACGATACTTAGAAGATTTCGGAACAAAGGATAAAAACATATTTTCAAGACACACAAATTGGCGTCTAGGATCCGCCATTTAGATTTTTAATGATATCTATATAACTTATGACACTCGCGTTATCAAGACGAATCTAACGGCGTACGCAACATCAAAATCGGTTAAGCCATTTAGTAATTACGAGGGAACATAGGGTCGGACATACATACATACAGGTCAAACACATAGCCCTCCTTTGGGTATCGGTCGGGTAAATAAGACAGACACCATTAATAATTATATAAAAAAAATACGACCAATACAAAATCGCCATTACAATTATCAAATTAATATTAAAATGTACACATTGGCTAATAAAAAATATATTATAACTAGCGGCCAAATTCTTATATACCTTGTTTTTCGATTATTTAACATACTAAAAATACGAGATTCTGTCAGAAGAATAATACTTTCTTAGATTTACGCGAATATTTGACATTTTAAATTAAACTATGTATTTTCTTTCAGATTTTTTTGGCGGATTAATTTCGATATTTGGTTCCCGACGGTTCAAATGCTTAACACAAGGGAGAGACTCCCGTGACCGTGATTGCTGTGAAACATTCTAAACTTCGGAAACCAAAAATCAAAACAAAATAAATCCGCGAAAATATCCGAAAAAAAAAGTTGTATTTAAAAAGAGCTTCCGTCATATTTCTATCTTTAGTAGTGCAAATAATTGTAAAATAATTTATTAATTTTGGCCGCAAATCCCGTCCCGTAGTATTTCATTGTATCCGTGTATTGGCAATATTCATAGGACATTTTAAAATAAGATTAAAGATGGACAAATATTATTAAGTGTGCAGTTAGTTAAGCATTCGCCTTTAAATTATGTCATATTCAAGTTCAAATTTCACATTAGTGATTTCAGAACACAGTTCATTTAATTTTGGTACGTATTGCTACGCAATAAGGTCTAATTTTCCACATTGACATATACCATATTTAAACTGATAAAGTATATCTCTTTGTCTTGAGATATAAATACATGCCACAGTCATTGTATATTCCACTTTAACACCGAACGATAAGGTTTATACAACATCAAAATTAGTTAACAATTACATGTAGTAAAATTCACATAAATTCATTTGATTCATTTTATTGATAAGATTTCAACTGATATTTCGTTATGTAGTCTTATACCTTATCGACATAACCATTGTATTTCGAAGTGTATTTCTTAGGCAATAAGGTTCAAACTTCGTCGCCGAGGTCCTGCACGCAGTGCTCGGCGATGGGCACGAAGCGGTCGTCTATCTGCACGAGCAGTATGCTCTTGTCGACGTGGGACCTGAGCTTCGGGTCCCGGTGGTTGGGCGTCCACTTGTGTACTACCTGTGGGAATGGGATTTCATTTGAAATTTGAGTATTATATATTAAATAACTAAATTATATTAAAAATGTTTAAGTCCCCCGACATGTAATCCGCCATTTTGTGGTAGCGGCCATCTTAGATTTGAAATTTATCATATTGTATAGTATTCTACTAGTCAAGCCCTTTCATTTGATACCCAATTGAGGGAGTTGTGAAAAAATATGTAATCCGCCATTTTGTGGCGGCGGCCATATTGGACAGATTTTGATCAAACACACTCCGACTACCACCTTTCAAACAAAAAAAACGAAATCAAAATCGGTTCATCCGTTCGGGAGCTACCATGCCACACATAGACACTAAAAACGTCGTTTTTGCGTCGGGGGATAAAAATAATACTATCAAATAAAACGCTAAAACATAAATGTTACAGAAGTAGTAATAAAGCAACTATTATAAAAATATGACATAATTACAGTATAATTTTTTTAGATACATAATATCTATACTTCAATTAACCTTTATGGTGGCATGGCTTAAAGCACCTCAATAATAGATAGGTAGATATGTCCCATTCCATACAAAGAAATTAATCAAAACTAATTCGGGCTATTTTTCATAATTAAACGATAGAAAATACATTTTACATTTAATTAAAAAAATAGTGATGAGTTAAGTAATCTTCCTTTTAGTAATAAATAAATACGAATATGTTGCTGATATTATGTCAAGTTTTTTTTTATAATTTATTGATTTATTTTTCTGTTAGGTGTGTTACGAAAAAATATTTTTTATTTTATCTTATTAAATTTTATGTAAAAAAGCTAATAAATATAAACATTCTTCAACAAAAAGTAAATTATTATTTTTCCTAATGTGTCGTACTACTAGTGGACTAACGAGTCAGTCAGTCAGCCTACTGGTTAAAATTAAATTAAGAACCAAGCAACTAACCAGTCCGTCCATCCCCGCCATGGGCACCCATCCTCCCCAATAGTTCCTCCCACCCCTCTCCCGCTGCTGCTCGGAGGGCCACAGCACGTCTATCCTTCTCCCCAAATTAATACAATCGTACACTCCCAACGGCTCCACTATCAGAACTTTACTCCCCACACTGATGTTAGCCTTCAATTCACTTCGACCCGAATCAGATCGTTTGATTTTCGTCTTTATCTCCTTTGTCTTAGAGTCCTTTTTGGGTTCTTTCTTCAAAATCGATTCTTTATTCGATATATCGGAGTAGTGGGTTTCCTTCAACGGTATGCTTTCAGGCTTCTCGATGTATCGGCCGGTCAGCTCTCGGTAGCTCTCGCGCTCGTGACGAATGTCTTTGCTTAACTTCGATAGATCCTTCGACGTACCTTCGTTTATGAAGTATCTGTTAAAATAAATATATTTATAAAATATATTTTTAAATTCATATGTGTTGATTTTATTAAAATATTTCTATTTTAAATGGAGCAGCGTGGAGAAAAATAAAATTAACAATTCATGGGACAGCGGTATAATGATTAGATATAGAAAGAGGGGTAAAATTATAAATTAAAAGTTAAAATCATATTATCAGTTTTTTAAGAGGGTTTACACCACTAGATGTAGCATATAAATGCAAATCTAACATTGCACAGGATATTATAAATCTATAATAAGTAATGCAGTCAGAACTTTAGTTAATTCTATTATTATGATTACGTTAGTTACAGTCAGAAAATAGAACAATGTTCAAATACTTCGAGTGTGTGTGTTATTTATTTTTTTATTTTGTTACAATTTTTTAATTTAATGTTTATAAATAAAGCACACGAACAATACACACATAAAACATTTCTGATAATCTTATTAGTAATATAAATCAAGTACCTGATGTGTATATCTATTACAAGTGTACATAGCGTTCACTGGAGACGATAGTTAAAAAGTAATAAAAGTTAAAAGTTAATTACTATGTAAATTTAAATTGTTATGTTTTATTTTTAAATATATCTAACCTAAAAACAGAGGGTGAATCGTGAAATGTGTCAATGTGTATGATAGAGACAGAGAGAAAAAGATAGGTAGAGTGAGAGAGATAGATGGAATGAGAGGTACATAGTAAGATATATACATAGAATGAGAGAGGAACATATAAGTAGAGTGTGAGAGAGAGATAGATGTAATGGGAGGTACACAGTAAGACGGACAGTGTGAGAGTGAGAGAGCGAGTGGGTGTGACCTGGTGAAGGCGACGACGTTCCGGTTGGCGATGATCTTGCAGTCGGGCAGCGACACGTCGCCGCCGCGCGCCTCCTCCAGCGACGAGTGCGAGCCCGACGACCGCGACACCGGCGACGCCCGCGACCCGCACGCCTTTAATACTTTCTTACATTTATGCGAACATTTCACATTTTAAATAAAACCATCTTTTCGGATTATTTAGCGGATTTATTTTCATCTTTAGTTCCCGACGTTTCGAATACTTTACAGCAATCATGGTCACGGGAGAGACTGAGGTTTAAGATGTCTCAAAAGCATTATATAGTTGTTACAGCTAGAGCCTACCCACAAATTAACAAAAATAAATTCAAAAACTTAAAAAATGACATCAAAGTACCTTACAATATTTGTTAATTTTTCACTTGGATTAGCGACATCGCCTATAGAAAGTGTACGATACCTTAGCACTAGCGGCGCGTCGCGGCTGCTCGCGCCACGCGCACTCCCACCCGCTGGAACCCTGTAAATAAAACGTTAACATAAGGGTTCGAAACAATAATTATCATTGATAATTATCTTTGATAATTATCATGATAATTATCATGATAAACATGGGTTGATAATTATCATTGATAAATATAATTGAAATTTTTTAATTTGTAACTCTTCAAATTGTCGATCAGCTAACTGAACTCTCTCAATCAGCTCAAAAAACTCAATCAGCAAACTGAGTTAATGCAGTTGAGGAGGATGAGGATGATATTCCACTCATTAAGTAGTCTGCCCACTACACCATCTCATACCATGACCGTGCTATGAACGTATCAGGCACGGAAACAAGCGACACGGACTAATAGTAGTCCGTGTCGCCCACTAGAACGTATCATTTGCGTACCAACCGCGTATCATCCGCGTGTCATATCTGTATACATAGTTCAAGTTTTCTCAGTCGTAGTAGTTCACCTGTGTTTTCGCGGGAGACAGCCACGTCAGATAGAGCGAGTGAATATTTTTGTTACGAAAATTATTTCTTATACCTATACGATGGCTATTAGAAACTTGTCCGATAGAAAATTAACAATGATAGGCATTGTTTTAGACGAGGAAGAAAGAAAATAATATCAGTTGATCACGACGTTACTAGGTTCGCCCGTTTTTATTAAAAAATATCATCACTAGAAGACAAGCGACACCCCCAACCCCCCTCCCCCCCCGATACTTCTGACATCATGACTACTTCTCTGATAGCAGAGTGGACCTTGGAGCAACTCCATGGTTGTTGTGGAAATGCATTTCCCAACGTTAAAAAAAAGGCACGGAGCGTATCGGCACCGGCAAAATATTCTTGCTGACAACTATTGTTAACTTACCATGCACGGCATGCGACGGTGTTGGTTGGTGACGGAAAGGTCTTGGTCGGTGATAGAACGGTCTAGTGGGCATAGTCTTATACTTCTCAATACAAAGAACATTTTTTTGCCTGACACGGTCCTGGTACGGTCATGGTATGAGACGGTATAGTGGACAGAGACCTTTAATTTAATTAAATAGTGTTTATATAGTTGGTTAAGTTTATTCTGTTTTTGTTTCATAGTTTGTATATGTCAAAATAATGAAAAAATAATAATAAAAAAAGGAGTACCTTGATTTTTAAAAGTGTATAATTTATTCTAACGTAAGTTGTGATAGGCAAATAGTCCAATACCAATACCTACACAAGGATTGCTAAGTTTATATCTGTTTGATAGTTATCGGATAATTGTCTGATAATTATCGCGATGATTATCAAAAGATATATTTATCTTAATAATTTCATACCCTGGTTAACATACACATATTTAGCTTCAATCTTTTTTTATTTCGTTAAATTTTTCAATCAATTCAACTTTAAGAATGGATATAGTTAATATATCAGAAGTACGTTCGAAGAATGTTTTAATATTTACTATCCTATTTTGGACTAAGAGAAATCCAAATAAAATCAAATATCACAAAAATTGGTCCAGCCGATTTGGAGTTATAAATGGTGTAACTAATACGTCTTTGTTTTATATATATATAGATTCTTTTTGCATTTTTCAAAAAAAAAAATATTTAAAGATATTAAGCTTTATCCATTTTATGTAAAATCTCGATAATGGTGCGGTATTTTTTACAGTGGTCAGGGGGGGCTCTAAGATTGAATCCGGCACTGCGTACACACACACAGACACACACGCGTACCTGCACGTCGTCCGCGAGCCGCTCGGCGTGCGCGGGGTGCGCGGCGTGCGCGTGCGGCGCGGGGGGCGCGCGCAGCGGGTCGCTGACGGCGAGCAGGCGGAAGGAGGCGGGCAGCGCGCGCTCGCGCCGCGCGCGGCTGCGACTGCCCGGCTGCACGAGTCACGTACGTATTACTTATACATTTCGCATGCGCTTTTGATCCGACCGGGGATCATAAAACCTAGGTTTACAGTTAAGCCTAATGAAATGGTTACCCAATTGAATCGTTTCCAGAAAAACCTTGTAATGTGTAACCCATATTTTAGCAAATGAGATGTGTTAACCGTTTGTAATGATAGTCCTATTATAGAATTATCCATTGTACTAACTTTATATAAGAAAGTACTTATTTTAAACGCTTATTGTATTATATTATATGTGCATTATTCACAGTAATATACCTTTCAATTATTGCTACGTTAAAAAAAATCTAACACAAATTGCAGTTACAACATCCGACAACACAAAGAAACAACAAATCAAATAATCGAAGTGAAAACAAAAAAAAACAAAATTATTTACATCATACAAGTCACAGACATAAGAATATTTTTTTATGAACACAAATAATATAAGTCTCTTAAAAAGATAAGCCATCCTTTATACACATGGTATCTCTTTTCTATTTTATCTATTTTTTTCTGTACATAAATAAATAAATAATAATGAATGAATGAAACAACAAAAGTCCGCCCACCTGCGTGCGCGCGCGCATGTTGCGCTCGCGCCGCGCGCCGCGCTCCTCCGCGCGCCGCCGCGCCTCCGCGCCCTCCGCCGCGTACACTGACGGACATACATATGATTGTTTAAATGGAGCAGACTTTAAAGAAAAGCATTATTTGATAAAAAAATGTTTAAATGTTTAGTTTATTTGGAATAAAGTTTTTTATGAAATTAATTGAAAAAAGTTATAATTGAAAAAAATTGCTGCTACTAGAACAAACATAACTTTATTTCAACATATAAAAAAATGATACTACGCGATTAAACACTTAAAAGTTTCGACCCGGTACACCAACCATGGTCAGGAGCAGTCAGTCAGCCCCGTAGTTTTAATATTTCCTTACATAATAAAAAGTGACGGTATACAAATGGCAATGCAACGTACCGGCGTCGTCCTGCGCGCGCTCGTGCGAGTGCTCGCGCAGCAGCCCCGCGAGCGACGCCGCCAGCGTGGACGACGTGGGCTTGCCCGCGCTGGACAGGCTGCCGCGTGTACCCGCTACACCTTGTTTAAATTTTTTTATCTATCTAATAAAACAGTAGAGGTCGAATGTCTGTACATAGAAAAAACATGCTAAAACCGAGTCAGGGGGATGTAAGACGAGAAATAGAACAAATCCATTTTTTTTTTCATTTTTTATTTCTCTGTCTGTTTGTCTGTTTGTACGGGCTAATTCTCCGAAACTGTTGGACCGAATTAAATGAAATTTTATATGATGGTACCTTATATTCCCGGTTAAAATTTTAGGTACTTTAAATCCCGGAAAATTAAAGAGTTCTTGTGGGATAATTAAAAAACTATAGTAACTTATACAGCTTAGTACACAAAAACTACTGATTGGAATTTAATGAAACTTTACAATAATATTGTTTAAATATCAGAATAACAAATAGGCTACTTTTTATCCCGCAAAAATTTACAATTTCCATGGGATAGATTTGTTTTTGATCGTCTGGTCTGTCTAGTTAATAATAAAATTAAAAATTATAGGTATGTTTAGACCTTATATTTTTGTTTATTAAAACAGTCCAAACAAACAAAAAAACATACCCAAAGAATTCCGTATTCGGGGAGTCACAAAATCACGTCAGTCGTATGGGAGCCCCCTTTAAATATTTATTCTGTTTTTTAATATTTGTTCTTATAGCGGCAACAGAAATACATCATCTGTGAAAATTTCAACTGTCTATCACAGTTCACGAGATACAGCCTGGTGACAGACGGACAGACAGACAGAGCAGTCTTAGTAATAGGGTCCCGTTTTACCGTTTGGGTACGGAACCCTAAAAAGGCTAACAATATAACGTGTGAAGGCCTCACCGGAGTCGCGCGGGGCGCCGGCGCGCGGCGGGTGCGCAGGCGGCACGCGCGGCGCGGCGCGCCCCGCCTCCGCCGCCGCCGCCTCGCACGCGCCGCTGGAGCAGCCCTCGCCGCAGCGCCGCCGGATGCTGCGCACGGGCACACACTCATATACTTGTGAGGACGGGAGTTTTCATTTAATCACTTGAATTATATATTGTTATAATATATCGTCGAATTAGTACACTCTATAAATAAATATAATAGATATTAATAAATATACATACATACAAACTATATAAGTACCGTTCAGTTATATCGATGAAACCATATAGTCGATTAACTGAACACATTAATTTATTCGTTGCAGTAGTATCGTAACAATTTTTACTAATTGTCTAAATCGATAAAATTTGATATTAATAAACAAATATAGTAATATTGATTTAAAGTTGAAAATAATTAAAAAAATATGAAATAAACGGCGACGTCCGCATGCAGGACTCACCGCCTCCACAGGCGCACGAGGTGGTCGCGCACGGCGGCCACGGTGAGCGGGCCGCCGGCCAGCGCGCGCAGCGGCGGCGACGTGTCCGCGTACGACGTGGTGAGCGGCGACACGTAGATGGGGTAGCCGATGGGCTGGTCGCACGACGAGTTGATGATGTTGCGCAGCGCCTGCGGGCGGCACGCGCACGTTACACGCATCGTCCGGCTCGAAGGACCGAGTTTAGGATGGTGCAAGTTACATGTTTATGATATTGACTTCATACATTTTTTCATACTGAAAACTTTGTTTTTAAATGATGTAGTACTCGATGCTAGTAAAAGGTAAGTAGAAAGTTCTTACATAGTATCCTACTTATTTATAAGCTAGTAGCGTACGATCTATGAAATTTTAGTAGAGAGACGATAAACACACTATTCAACAATACTAAAACAGCAATACATATTTACATCTCTCCATATTTATTGCAAGTTTTAAAAAACACAAACCCATGAAACTAACGACGCACCTGCTTAGCGTTCTGTATGGAGCCCCTCTCCGGGTTCCTGTTCCTCAGGTAGACCAGCTCCTGCTGCTGGCCGGCCCACAGCCCGCGCACGCACTCGCGGTTCAGTTTGATTACGCGGAAGCCAAGATGACGCTTGTTCAGCATTATTATTTTGTAATCGTCGTTGCCTTCGTCCATTACGTGTCTGGGAATAATAAATAAAATACATAATTAATTTTAAATAACTCTTTTGGTTTTTTTTGCCGCTTTTTTATCGCTATAAAGCATTCGTAGCGTCAGAATAAATCCGTAAAAAAATCCGAAAAGATTTGTTATTCTTAAAATATCAAATTTTCACGTAAATCTAAGAAAGTATTACACATAAGTAAGTTATTATTTTGTATCCTTAATTAACCAAGCTCTTAAATTTTATATTCAATTACTTTTACAAGGGTTATTGAATGTTCATGTATGTAACTTAAATTGTCAGTGAGTGCTTTGGTTATGTTTTCATTGGTGGTAAATGATATAGTTTGAATGATATAATTAAAATTGATGCTCGATGAATCTGAATGAACAATACAAATGCAAAAGTTAGTTTGTGTGTTTGTTTATTATATTTTCACAACTTATTCACTGAACAAATTTTTTAGATTTCTTGTACACGTATAGTTTGGATATAAGAGAAAAATAAAAGTCAACTTTTTGTGTCCAAAATTATAGATTTTTTTGAGAATTGTTTCATAAAAAAAGTGATTAAAATATTGTACGTGATTACATATCAATAAACACTAATATATCTTCTCGTATTACCAATGTTCAGTGTGTATGTGTGTGTGTACCTGAGCGCGAGCAGATGCGGCGCGCCGCGCAGCACGTTGTAGCGCCAGGCCGGCGCCGCCTCGTGGCAGATGACGAGGCGCTGCGCGTGCGAGGCGATGGCGGCGTACAGCGCCGCGCTGCTGCAGTACTCCTCGGGGAACATGAAGTGGTCCTGGTGCAGCTTGAGCGCCATGCGCACGGCGGGCGCCAGCACCGAGTGCAGCAGCGCCACGTCGCTGAACACCCACTCGTCGCGCGCGCACGTGATGCGGAAGTCGCCCTTGAAGAGCGCGTGCAGGCCGTAGAGGAAGAACTCGACGGAGGAGGCGGCCAGGTGGTGCGCGGCGGCCAGCGCGCGGCGCCCGAGCAGGCTGAGCGCGAAGCACAGCGTGAGCAGCGCGCCGTCGCGCTGCGCCGCGCGCCGCCGCCAGCCCGCGCCGCGCCGCGCCGCGCAGTGCACCGCCCACTCCTGGTACACGGCGCAGAACCGGCTCCTGCGCACACGTACACATTTAAATCGCGCGCTTTTCTTTTGCTCAATAAAAATGATTGAAAAGATATATACATATATAATATAAGTCAGCTATATAACAATAACATATTGGCAGTAACTGTTATATGAATAAAATAGGTAAATAATATCACTTTTATATTTAACCAGAGACTCACCCTCGCTTCGCTTGGGTTCGTCCCTAGATACATTTCAAGGGATAGTATGAAATAGAAATCTTAAATTTCTCGGTTATTCTGTACTATAATATGCATGTATTATACTTATAAACCTACCTCTTGAATCATGCTATTTATTAAAAAAACCGCATCAAAACCCGTTGCGTAGTTTTAAAGATCTAAGCATACATAGGGACAGACAGATAACGGGAAGCGACTTTGTTTTATACTATGTTGTGATCAAGTTATTTTAATAATATATACAAATACATGTGAAAAGTTTGGTCTGAAAACGTCATTTTCTATGTTCATTGTATATTTAAACATATTTTCCTATTAATAAAACGAAACCAACTTAGTTATTCCAGAAGCTCGAAAGTCGTAGTCCTCATCCAGGTTGACATTGAAGATGGGGTCCAAGTCTACGAAGGACCTCTCACTCATGGGCTTGAGTGCTTCAGTAAGCTCGGGCGATGACAGCCATTCCTCGAGTTTACTCGATTGTATAGTGTAGTAGATAATACTCTGAAAATAAATATATATTTAGTGTAACTCATATTTTTTCATTATGTATTTTTATTATATTATAAAAAAATACTACTAATATTATATTCGTATTCAGCATTTTAAAAGTCCCACTGCTGGGCACGGGTCTCCCTTCAGTACGATATGGATCAGGCTATAGTCCACCACGCTAACTAAGCGTGGGCGGACTTCACATATCTTTCGAAAACTAGGTTCCCTCAGACATGCAGATTTCCTCACGATGTTTTCCTTCGACGTAAGACGAGGAGTGGTAATCATGTTGGAAATGATTCGCACATGATTTGATATATGTGCCCGTCTTTCCCTCATACAACAACGTAGCGACTGACATAATCGTATATTGTAGATACAGGTTATAATAACATTTTTAATGAACGATAATATATACTCGCGGTGGCACTATAAATAAAAGAGCACTGGGTACCTTGACGTAGTAGGTGAGCAGCACCTTGCGGAAGTCGAAGACTTGCAGCATGGAGACGGCGCTGTTGTCAGTGACGGAGTAGCCCTCCAGCACGTAGCGCGCCGCCGCCAGCTGCCACGCCAGCCAGCGCAGCGCCCACCACGCGCCCGGCGACAGCACGCGCGCGCACCACGGCCAGCCGCACCCGCACCCGCCCTCTGCACACACGGTCGTCCCACACGCAAACATTAAACTTATATGTAGCATCACACACATATTCAGATACATAAATACATACAGAATAGAATTACACAGAGAGGACAAACATTTCATTATTATCTTAAAAAAATATTTTATGTAGGTAAAATAAAATATAAAAAAATATTTTATATTTTATTTTACCTACTTCGACGACATCACATACTTCATATATTAACTTCATATAATCTTTAATAAGTGTATATGTACCAATAAAAAAATAGTCCAACCTCAATAACCACACACACATACCACTCAACTCCTCGGGCCCCTCAGAGATGGCCTCCACCTCGCGCTGCTGGCAGTACGTGCCGCGGAACTCCAGCCCGCGCAACTGGAAGGACACCAGCCCGTTGCCCATCTCCACGATGTGCACCAAGCAGTTCAGGTAGTCCGAGGCCAGCACTGTGGGGGATTATAGTTCAGGATATCAATATTCCTGGTCACAGGATTTGCACAAATAGAGTGCGTAGAACAGACGAAATAATAAAAGAAAAAATAAATAAATGAATTATACATTGAATGAATGTACTTTACTTGAATGAACTTCATTTGGACATATCACAAATAATAGAAAAACAAACAATACAGTTATCTCTGTACAGTAGCGGGTTGCCTCGAATAGATTGGTAAGTCAGTCTATTTTAAGACGTGATTTTCTATTTGCAACAAGGCAATAAATACACAGTCCATCTCGTGTTAATAGTCCAACATAGGACTATCTATACATATTTTGCTATACCGTACACAAAAAATATATAACAAATTAGAAGTACATGTATAAAGACTAATCTACAATACAAAACAGAAAAGACCCATCTTAAATTTAAAAAACAACGACCCCCCTTAAAAATCCCCATTGTAGATCCTCACCGAAGCAGTCCCCCTGCTGCACCTGCCCCCAGCGGCCCAGCAGCAGGTCGCCGCACAGGTAGTGCTGCAGCGACCGCGTCAGGTGCTCGTAGAATATCGAGTTCAGGTTGTTGTCGTCTGCGAAGTGAAGTATTGTTAAATTAATATATTACTTTGGTAATCTTTGTTAATATGAAGAAAGATTACTATAAGTTCTCTTAAATAAGCTAATTTTGTTCACAATTCCATGGATTTTTTTCTTCTAAATTAAAGTTCTTATAATGAGAACTTAGGCTAAGTTCTCATTATAACATTAGCTATCTGCCAGTGAAAGTCCCGTCAAAATTGGTTCAGCCGTTTCGGAAATTAGCCGGAACGAACAGATCGAGACAGATAAAAACTTTTAAAATGTGTTTTTTCTTAAAGTACTGTACCCATTTATGTATATAGTTTCATATGCATGCAAAAAATTGTTATTTTGCGTTACACTCAGACACTTCAATTTTATTTATTTGTATATATAGATTAACGCACTAACTCAATCAACAATGTCACATTTATAATATTCTTATATAAAACATTGTTTTTTGTATTCTACTTTTAATATGCAAAAATCTTGCAACTGGTAATTTACAAATTGCAAGCATCAGTTTATTCTTAAAAGATAACAGCCACGAGACTAAGCAAAGCTTTAATATGGTTTGGTTGAAATTTTGTATGAAAAGGCGTACTTTTAAAGTGACAGCGAACAAAATTTAAAATATTTTTTCTGATTAAATCCTAGTTTAAAGTTTTAGATACGTCCTGTAATATTAAAAAATAGAAGATAACGTGAGCATAAAGAGCTGTATAATATTCATAAACTACGCGTACGGAGCATCTGAGAAAAAGTAAACATATAAATATATATAAAATATTCCAAATATGTATATTTTTCGAAACAACATAATTGAGTATTTTCAGTGAAAGGTATGAACAAAACCGAACCTGCGCCCAAATTCCTCTCGAGCTGCGACGACAGCCGCGTGTTGCTCTGGTCCACCCGCTTCGTGTTGTAATCGCGTTCCCAAAACTTGACGGGGCGCACGTATGACGTCATGAATATGGCGCTTCCTGTCATACAATGAAAAAATTAAAGAGTGCGTGTATGAATGTGTACACGCGCAAGAAGTAAAACTTGTGTAGGTTATCGGTACTCTTTATGAAATTCTATTTATATTTTAAATTTTACTTTAAAAAAATACGAGTTAATATTAGTCCCGCTGAGTTACATCGCCAGTTCTTCTCAGGTCTGAGGCTTCTTCTTTGCGAACTGGTAGTAGACTCATGACGTTCAGTAAAAAATTGTAATTATTTAATGCTGAATGGTATCTATTCTAAATGAAAGCCCCCGTTTAGTTATTTTTTACATTTTAGTGCCTAGAAGTCGGTTTTATTTTTTGGTAAAAAGTTTTTATATTGAAGAGCATTAATACCAAGTTTCAAGTAATTCTGATTATAAAAATTTCTTGGATTGTACTATAACGTGTTTTCTCGTGGGAATTAGATAATCTCCCGCAGTAAAAAGTAGTCTATGTCACTCTCCAGCCCTCCAACTATCTACATACAAAAAATAACGTCAATCCGTCACGCCGTTTCGACGTGAAAGAAGGACAAACAAACTAACGAACAAACAAACACTTGCACATTTATAATATTAAGTATGGATTTAGTAAATTTAGTACTAAATAAAATTAAAATAAAAAACAGTACGGGTCAGTAGTGGGTAGTGAATAAATAAATAAATGTGCGCGCGCCTCACCCAAGGCCGGCGTGAGCGGCGACGACAGCAGCGCGGACACGGCGGCCTGCAGGAACAGCATGGCGGAGTGTGGCACGGAGAAGGGCTGCGCGAAGGCGTGGAAGGCGCTGCCCCACGTGATCTGCCACGGCGCGATGTACGTCACCACGAACTGCACCTGCGAGAGTCACCGCGGCTCCGTTACCGGCTGGTGCGTATTCTTTTCGAATTTATTGCCCAACAATAGGGAATATGCATGCCCTTTTTTTTAATTTTATTATACTATAGTTTACATCGTTATATGATTATAAAAAAATATCCAGCTCCCAAAGACTAACATTTAGTATATATTTTTTTTTAAATATCATACCGTTACGGTTACTTTAAATTTAAACGCTTACTATTTTGCGCGCTCGGCGTGACGTCACAGTATGATGTACACAGAGAAATAATGACTCAATTTTTAAGCAACAAAATCACTAATCACTCTGATATAATATATTCTGACGTCATATTCAGTCTAACCAATGGCGGCGTTTCAACTACTTTCAATTTCCCACCAGTTTTTGCACTTTTTCATATATTTTTTAATCAAAAAGAAATTACATTAAAAAATATTAATACAATAAAGATTAAAAAAAAATATTTCACCTTTCTGTAAATCACACGCATATTACCTATTGCTAGTTAGATTAATTGACCTAGCGAGACAAGCGTCTCTGCTACAAGACTTCCAAAAGTTTGCTTTCCTCTATCAGTTTGTTGGTACTCCTCTACAGGTCGTATTTTACAACCGATCTAGACAAAACTTGGTATAAAGTTTTTACGACTTTATACATTTTTTTTGTCGTCGGGGATTTTTGATTGGAGGTGCACTTCCTCCAAAAAGGGACAAAAAGGGGGATACTGACACACTAACTAACTCATCCACTTGTGTATTTATTATTTCAATTGCAAACTCACCTTCAACAAGAACTCATACACCTTGCTAAATATGATTGCCGTTATGAAGTAATCCACAAGAAATGTTTCTGACACTTTCAGGCTAATGAGGTCCCGCTGGAACAGCAGCACCGCGAACACCACTATCAGGTACTGCGTGTCAGGTTCCGAGTACGCGTTTCTTAGACCTGTGTGTGGTGAATGGTTCATATTATAATGGTTAAATAGGATAAGTTTCTTTTTAGCTACCAAGTATTCTTTTGCTAATTTAAATTAACGATGACACGTTTGGCTAAGTTTGTAGTGATCCTACTTACTGTGCCAGCGCTCGCGGGTTTGAGTCCTGCTGGGTGCATTCATTTTTGTGATGAGCACGAATGTTTGAACAGTCATGGGTGTTTATATTTATAATATATTTGTATTTTAAGTTATATATGTGTAGTGTTTTAACTATGTGGTATCCATAACACAAGCCTTATAGCTTACCATGGAACTAGATGGTGCTGTATATTAATGTAAACGATAAAAAAAAATACTAAGTTGGAATTGAACAGAACTCTGGTCTTTTCTGTCAGGTTCAGTCAAACAATTGAAAGATAGGTTTTATTTTGTCATAAACAGAGTATGAAGAAAAAAGTCGTAGATTCCTCACGGACTTACAAATTGACATTTTATTTAAATTTAAAATATAAAATGGTTTTTCCAAACTGCCTATAGAAGTATTTGAATAAAGAATATTTTGATTTGACTAACATTTGAGCGCGCACACGCACACGATGAGCGCGCCCAACGCGTCGCCGTACTTGTGCGCGATGGCGGGCGCGTCCTGCGACGTGGCGGCCAGCACCACGGCCGGGTACAGCACGTTGCGCTCCAGGAAACACAGGTACACGAACATCTGGACACATACACATAGATAGTCATCATATCAGTAGTGTAAGGTAGTTCAAAATTTGTGCACCTTCAACGTCCAAGAGTGGGGGTCTACAGTTTAGTATTTAAAATGTGTCGATATCTATCGAGTAACAGTTTTTCATATTTTTCTCAACTGAGTGGTTATTATGTTAAAATTGTGATTAAATATTAAAATAAATAATTTGTGGTGAAAAGTGTTTCTTTGTGAGCTATTTCTTTTAAGTAGAAGGCCGTCCATTGTCCATAAGCCTCTTCTAAAGATTTCCACAACCGGTCTTGTATCATCTGTATACTGTGTGCTAGTTTTCAGGGACTTAACAATCTGGACATTCATACACATAATCTGTGTCATCATTTCGTCTTTGCTGGACATAAATCTCCCACTAAGATTTCCAAGACAACCTATCTTACGCCATACTTATCTAGTAGTTTTTGAAGACTTTTACTAAATCGTGGTCTTCCTTATGAATCACTTACACTTATAGTACAACACTACACAGCTCAAGTATGCGTAATAAACTAACTAACAAAATATATAAGGCATTATGGCATACCATTATGACATCATATGAAAATAGATAAAAACTTAACAAAAAAACAGATAAAGTAAAAAATCCTCACCCTCTCAAAGTACATGAGCTTGGCAGGCTCAGTGACCTCGAACTGCGCGTGTTCATGTTGCTTGAGCACGGGGCCCGCGAGGCAGAGCCAGGGCTGTTGCTTGCGCAGCTGCGGCGTTATGTAGTGGAGGAGCCAGCCGAGCACGCCCGCTATGATCCAAAGCACCTGGGGGATTTGGATCAAATGTATACCCACTAATAATTGAAAATAGTAGCTGATGAGTTTACATTGAGATTATAGAACATTTGTGAGTATGTGTGCCTGTTTTTTTCAGGCTGTAACATCTCAAATGATTGGAGTAGGAATGCAAAATATTTCACATAGACATCCAAACTTAATGAGCTTTTGTCATTAAACGTTGTTTTCATTATTTGAATTTAATATTATTTTTCAAATTTATGTTGGAAATACAATATATAGTATAGTACATATAATATGCTTATTTATTTTTATTGCAACTACATATGTATTATATACTTGACGAAGGAACCCACGACTTGAGGTGTCGTCGTAGCACTCATTAAATCAAAAGAATACTAAATTATTAGTTGATTTCCAAAAAAGTTTATAAAATATATTATGTGTGAATATAATTACCGTATTAAGTTGTGGTCTTAAAGTAGTGAAAACTGTTGTACAATGCAGGCCAAAAACGAAGAGCCCGAGAAACGTGCAGACTATTAGGTCATTCTTCAGTCTGGCGTTGACGGTCGCTTGCAATTTCTTGGGTAAAGGATCTTCCATATCCTCATCAGGTTTATCTGTGTCCTGTTTGTTTGCGTTAGAGTTTAAAGTATTTGAATCTCTACTTTTTTCCTCAGTTTCAGTAGGAGCCTCCGATCGATCAGCTTTTAGAGATGACGTGGAGTTCATAGTGTCACCCCTAGGATCCATCTTCAATGAACTAATACTCGATGTTTGAGAACGTTTTTGAGATCTTGCTATATTAGTTTCTGAACTAAAGTTGATCTTTGACGTCGAACTGCCCATAGAATTTTGTTTGGATATGTTACTCTCCGAATTATTTTTCTTTTGCTCGCTTAAAGTATTTGGGTCAGTTTTTTCTGTTTCTTGTGGTTCTGGATTTTGAACGACATAAAAGTCTGGAGGTAGTAAATGTTTCTTTATTAAATTCCAAATAAGCGTATAATCACTGGCACTTCGACTTAAGTGATACGCTATGGGGACTAGAAGACCGCAGAAGATAGAAAACAATATATTATGCTTTTGATGTTGAGTTTTCTTCCCTTCTATCAACCCACTATATGCAAAACCATACAATACTCCAATGGCTGCAATAGATCTGACAACGCAATAGACAGCCGCGCTTAAGCTACTCGTTGCATTACCTCCAAAAATATGCATATCGATCTGCTCCAATAGGTACATTAGGAACGTATTCACTTGGGGAAATAAACCCAAACTAAAAGCTAAGGGAAAAAATAGTAGAAATTTAGAGAGGATCTCTTGTATAACGTATAAAAAATCGGTCTCCTTAAATTCAAATCCATATATAGTCAGAGGTTTAAGTTCATCTGCACTTCGCCTTGTCCTTATATGGCTGTCTTTGGGCGGATCGATCTGTTGTAACTGATTATTTACAGCACACAATATTGCTGTACATAAACAAAAATAAACTGGTCGCGAGAACACGACCATTTTGTTGAACCCGTGCACGGGTGACGCCGAATCAGGTTGAACACTCTTCAATAACGAATATTGACTGCCTGCCATAATGAAGCAAAACCAAAAAGCGTATATATCCCTGTAAAATCCGAGGTTTAAAACCATAGAGCCCAGCGCAGCCACTGCAACCGCGAGCATTATTGAAATAAATGTTTCTTTAAAGGTTAGATTTCTATCGAAAAGAGCCATTAGTTTTAATCTGTCCATTGTAACTTTGACTTCTAAGCATTTTGATAATTTAAATTTGTAATAACTTTTCGATTTAGGTTTTTTGGCTTTATCTAAGTCATCCATAAGCTTTGAGAATTTGCTCCTAATATTCATATCCACACTTTCCTCCCCGATTGAAGGCATCAGACTTGGTATGTGCGTGGATGTGTTCTCTGCTTGCTGTTGGGCTTGTTGTTGTGCCCTCTGTTGGCTCATCAGGAAATTGATATGCATGCTTGGTAGTCCCATTCGGGATTGCCTTTCAGCTTCTATTTGTTCTAACAAACTATCTGTTACGTATGCAACAGGAGACCTAGGTTGATCCGTATGTGAGCCAGTCCCACCATCAAACACATAGAACCGTTTATTTGAGCCATTGGTGTTGATAGGGACGACTGTTGATACGTTGTTATTACTCGAAAGCAAAGGGTTATTGCTTCCTTGGTTGGAAGAACTTTGATCTATACTGTCACCGCGTTTCGTTTTTGGTACACTTTCATTATTCGCAACTTCTGATTCTAGAGAGCCACAGCTGCATTCGCCGGCAGTTTCTTGAGAATTGTCAGGATTTTCAGATTTAAGGGCGATATTTCTTGTCCCATCTTCTTTATCAGCTAATGGTATCGGTTGAGGCTGAGCTCTACCAGAACTATTCTTATCGAAAGTATATGACATCCAGTTTCCATATTCATCCATGAAACAGTGTATAGCGCCATCGGTGGTATCCTCAAATGACGTAGCAAAGTGGACATTATTACTATTTGGATTATCTGATGTAGAAGGCTTGTCTTTCTTATCCGTGCTTTGTTGGGGCGGATTATTACGCTGACGTGTAGAGCGCTTAATTTTTCTAATTCGATTTCGATGATTGCGATCCATCAAGGGTCTTAGTCTCTGCCCTTCTTCCGGTGCTTGTCCTTCAATGGCAGGTTGATTATCAGGCACACAGCAAGGCATAAAATCTACCCTTGAGTTAAGAAAAGCGGCTAATAATGGCATTGAGGTTGGCAGTAATGTGTTAGTTGATGTTTGTGCGACTTCCTCTATGGATCGTTTTCTCGTTTTGTGCAAACTGTCCCTTTCGCCTCTAATACTTTGTCTGTGACTTCTTGATCTATCGTCTCTGTTTGGAGGAGGCATTACAACTGTGTTTGCATTTGTAGCCGCAAAAAGACATTCCAATCCTTGAACTAAAGCAGCTTGAGCTTCGACAGCATCCATTAATATTCTATCTTCAGTCTGGTTTTCATCTTTGTCTTTTCTGGAATCCTTCACTTTGTTTTCTTTTTGAGAAGAAGCTCGTGAGCGTGCTAAGTTTTTTAATTGTTTTGGTATAGCGCCTAAATTTTTTGGTACATTTGATGAAGATTCTCCTAAGGCATTAGCTAATTTTTGGCATAAAATTTCTTCTGGGCCTAAATTTTCAGCATTGTCTTCTGCTTTGGTTTCAGATATTTCTTCAAACAACCAGTCTAAACTGTACACACTTCTTTCATCAGCACTTTTGCTATCGCAAGTTAGCTGCGATTCTTCAGTCTCTGGTGCAATGTTGCTTCCTTTAGCCTCATCTTCTGGCCTCTCTAATTCACTACTACTGCTACTAGTATTAGATATATCGTGGTCCCACAGTTTCTTCTCTACTGGTTTTTTTTCTTGAGATTGTTTTTCAGAAGGATCAACATTCTCATTTGATTCCAAGCTCGATTTTTCGATTAATAAATCTTTCGAACTAGCACTAGCTTTATCGAAATAATCACTACTCTGATTAAATTTACAATCACAGGGATTAATGGGTTTATCCGATTTTATTTCCAATTTCCCCTTTTTTTGTCTTAAATGCTTTGATTTTTCATTTGGACACTCTGGGAGGGTTTTTATGTTTTGATGTCTTTCGCAACAATGTTTTTTGCATTCACTTTGGTTTTTTAATCTTATTACTCTGATGTCATTGACTTTATCGAGTAAAGGTGATCTAGAACCATTATTTTCAAAATCGGAATCGCTTGAACGAATAACTGGAGACTGTTCTGCCTCCCAATCAAACCCGCGAAATTGTTTTTCATCTTCATATTCACTGTAACTTTCTCCACTAGAATCTAGATCTGTTTCTTTTTGAGATGTTTGCATCTCATCCGATATCTCAGCAATAGGGTAAACTATTTCTGAACCGTAAGTGAGATAGGGATAGCTACATCCCTCACCAGATTCATTTTTTGGGTAGAGATTTAAATGAGGACCGCGTGTAAGGCATTTGCTCGGAGGTGGAATTACTGCACTTTTAGGATTTTTTAACACCTGACCTCCAATTGTTTCAGCACTATTGGGATGAGGCGACAAATTTGATACACTAGGTGGCGGACATCCTATTTCCAAAGCGGCACTTTTTATTCTTCTGACACCCGGACTTTTACCTTTACTCTTATCGGTATCCCCAACTGGCACTTCAGATTTAACCATCATGTATTCACCTAATTCAACACTCGCAAAAAACCCTGTATCAGCATTATTGGAGTGCCTTCTCATATGAGAAACGAGTTGGGCAGTCGAATTTAACAAAGGCAGTTGTATAGTTGACATGGTTGAATTTGAGTTTCTCCGCATATTAGATGATTGTGCAGTTGCCAGAGCCATAGCTGATTTAGTACAGCTTTCGTCGTGATAATTATTATATCTTCTCCTCTGGGCTGTTCTTTTCTTAGGTGAAGGTGGCCCTACACTCGGTTCGGAATTATCCCTGGAATCTGAACTGAGTTGTCTGGCAAATTTCGACTGATAAGGTTCACCGGTTGCCTCACTGCCGTCAAGATACAGCCACTCTTTAAAGAAATCTCTGTTACTGGACCCACGTCGGTGAGGGCATTCATGAAAGCGTCTACTGACTTTTGCGAATGGGCCATCATCTATGAGCACATTTACTGGTATTATGCTATCTACTCTAGGGTTCCTCGACTCTTCGACAATTAATTCGTCGATTCGGCCATGGCCCCTTTTCGTTTTAGTTCTTTGTTCCCTTCTATGACCACATTTGGTTCTCTCGCGAACTCTAGTTGGACGGGGTTTTGGAGGTTCTACGACCTCCACTGGTTGTTCGACACATAAGTCGGATTTTGTTGTCGCTATGGGTATATTTGGCATAACAGACATGCCACTATCTTCTATGCTTGATTCTGAACTGTCTTTTCTATGAACATCAACCTTTAAATCTGTAAGAGAAAATTTAATGTCAATAATATACCAAAAGATAAACATTTTTCCGGAATTTGTAAGTAAACAAACTAAGGAAAATGAAAAAATATAAATAGAATATAACACTTACCTATAGTACTATTGTTGGGTTTGTGGTATTCAAGTGAAGTAATGGAGTCGTTATCGCTCTGTGGCGCGGCTGCACCACCCAGCGTCTGCATCTCCATACCTTCCTCTGGCCTGTGAGATGACAACAAACTAAACGATCGTAAATAAATAATTCTACAAAACACAATCAACATAAACAATACTGCAATAAAAGAAGGTAACGTAAACAAAACCTCTGCCAAATAATAAGCGAATTTGTTTGTTAGTTTGCACTATTGCAACAACATATTAATAAAATAGAAGGTGCGTTTTGGCGTGTAAAGGGATTAAAAAAAATATAGATATAGTAAACAAAAAAAAAGTGATATGAAAAATATTAAAAAATAAAACTTTATAATAAAGCTCAATAAACATGGTTATAGCAAATAAAAAAGAAATTACTACTTACGCTGTATTTTCATTTGAATTTCCAGCCTCGTCTGTAGACTGCACAATGATAAGTTCGTTTGTGTCGTACATGTGGTGCAGCCCGTGGTTGATTAGCTTTAGGGCGGTGAAGAGGAGAGCCACTAATGCACAGTATATCAACCAGCCGAGACTTGCCGGAGGAAAGTACTGTAAAGGGAAAATTTGTTTGTAATCTACAACTGTTATGCAATGCTGAAAGAGTTTGCTTTATGTGTTTGTTTGAATGCGGTATCTCTGGAACTATTTGTTCGAAAATTCGTTTTGATTTTTATAATCAATTTATTAAGGGTGGTTCACACATCTAACACCAAATTAACATCTAACACCATAATAACATATATCATTATAAAGAGACAATCTTGGTCTGGTACAGACAAGAATCGTGTGGAATAGCAAGGGAAAACAATATTTAGGAAATTATTATTAATATAAAATTTCGTAACATGCATCCATATTATTATTTTCTTTATTTCTGATTTTTTTATTTTTATTATGACTGACGTTATTAGATACAAATAAAAATAAGAGGCTGTTTTGTATTATGTAAACATGATTTTCTGATGCTGAACTTAATTAATAGTTATTACTTATATTATGGATGCAAAATTCTGTTTGTCATTTTGTTGCTTTAGTTTCTCTTTTATTCAAAAATAAAGCGAATAATACTTGCGAATTTCTATGCCTTGATATTTTACAACAAACAATTACTGAACACTCGAGAAGTACTAAGTTGGAATTATTGTAGTCATCTTCACTAGTACATTTTTTTTAAGAAGAACCATTAATTTTTTTACTTAGTAAGATTCACTCTATCACTTTTGTGTTTTGTCTTGTTTAGTCATTAATATATAAAATAGCTATGTTTGATTATATACTCTAAGATTTCAACAATAACTTATTTGTCTATTTATATGCAAAGAATACAAAATGGGAATTCAGGTGTCTAAAAATACAATCTAATAAGTATTAATGGACACTATATTATACAACTTATTGTAACCAAGATTTATATAGCACATTGTAAAGCTAAGTGATTTAAAATGATATAAAAGACTGAGTTTGAAAAAAGATCTAATATTTCTTAACAATGATTGCAATTATATCATATGTATGTATTGTTATTGTTGGCCTAAGCCACTTTTAATTCCCACTTTCGAATGTAAGTTAAATATAAGTTGCCAGTACATAATATGAATCATTTTCCCAGTAGTAAACAACCATTCAAGCATATTATATTACCACTTACTAACATGATTCATTTCTTAATACATTTATGCTTGATATTATTTATTTATTTTTTTTCAACACAGTGAAAAATTATACTTATCATCATTTTAATACTTTTAGATATCTCTTAGGATTATATATTCTCATAAAACTATTATCCCATATGTTGTTTGGGATGAAATCAACAGGTATCACTTACTAAGGATTTAGTTTAGTAATACCCTCATTTAACTATATTTATAAGAAATAGAAAGATGAAGACAGTTATTTATCCCTCTTAATCTTTAGCTTAATTAAATTATTTTGAAAATTTAGCATATATTATTTACTAAGGATTATTCTAAAGGCAAAAAACTGATTTTGTAATAATAATTAACTAATGTTTAAATTGTTACTAATAATTATTATTTATCTTTCCTGGTAAAATATTAAACAATGTTGGTGGGGGTATGGGTTATTACAAGTCATGTTTTTAAATTTTAAGTAAATATCTCGCTATATAATTTATAAGACAAATAAAATGTCACATAGACTTTGATCTTTTCTCCTACTTCATTAATTATCAATAATAAAATAATGAAAATAAGAAAAAACTTGTAATGTCAAATCATATTCTTGTTTTAGAGGGCAATGACTTGGTTATTATTCACTAACTATTTACCCATTGAGTACTGCAAAGTATAATAACATTGTGACCTGGTTTCATATGACATTACAAACCTTGTCTTAAACCTTAACCTATAAATCAAAATAGTTATATGAAAATCGTCTTACCAGATAAACAGAAAAAGGCAAACATAGCAGAAATAGCCATATATACAGATGTACAGTGTTGCAAAACAAATTTTGATGGGGATCATAAAACCAGCCTCCTGTTAATGATGCCCATATACCCTGACGTAGTATTTCTAATACTTGGGAACCCATTTTACACTATGTCCACATTTCCGTTAAGTTTACACTTCACCCACAAAACACTGTTAATGATTAACTTTATTCACATTTCGCATCAGCTAATGTCCAAGTGCAAGTATTTCGTCTTCCCTGCCATTTTGGATGACAGTGTACACAGGAAAACAGTCTTTATGAACATCGATTGTTTTATGCATACACACTTCATATGAAATAACTGATAAACTATAACGAATATTTTATTACATAAACCAAAGAAAGCATACTTAAAGTTAATTTAGTAATTTTCAGGACAAACTAATACAAGAATTGTGATTTGTAGACACAACTTTCGATATTTGACACTTTAGTTTTAATCAAATTTGACACATAAATGTTGCTAGTAAATATAATTTGCAGCAAGTATTAAAAAACCGGTATTATCGTATATCTAGAAATTTTTGCAATATAATGTACTGCCCTCACTAGTGGTATATGATTAAGACGAAGGCGCAATTTTTAGTATTTTAAAATAAACCTTGCGCACTGAGTAGTACACTTCGAACGCTTAAAGCGGAATGGTTCTCGTGATAGTATTACTGTGTGAATAGCGATATAATATTATTTTCTAACTATGGCTGATATCGAGAAACTTTTTAAACAAGCAGCAATGCAAGTTGGTGCTGGTGGAAGTGCGGGCTTCATAGAAGTTTGTATTATGCATCCTCTAGATCTTGTAAAGACAAGACTACAATTGCAAGCAACGAAATCATCTTTACAAAGTTCTAGCCCTCATTATTATAATGGAATAGTGGACTGTATGAAGAAAATGTATAGATATGAAGGTTTGACGTCATTTTGGAAAGGAATTCTGCCGCCAATTTTAGCGGAAACACCGAAACGAGCTGTAAAATTCCTTACTTTTGAACAATATAAAAAAATATTTTTGTTTGGCTCCAGCTCACCTACACCTCTTGTAAGTTCTTTAAAATAATTCTTTGAAAAGTTACAGATTTATTAAATATCCAATAAGTTAAGTTTTTATAAGAAGATTTTTTATTATCGTACATCCAAAAATCCGGGTCAATAAATTAAGACTATTATTTTAATTAAATTAGGCTTAAACATGTAATATTTTGCTAAATATACATTGAAAAGTATACATGTAATATCTTAATCATTATTTAAATGAACCAATTGGTAAATATAGTCAAACATTTGCATAAAGTAAATTTGCTGTAAATATTCAATATAGATTTTACATTACAAATTACTGATAAGAAATGCTATTAACATAGCGATAATACTTAAACGAATTAACAACCGGAATAATATTTATAATAATGCTTATTTAATAGCAAATGACAAAAAAATAATAAAAGTAAAATGAAAATTACAATTTTCGGACTTTATAAGTACCCATTTGTGAAATTCCGGATTTTTTCAGACTTTTGCATTAGCAGGCCTAGGATCCGGAATTACCGAAGCAATTTTAGTGAATCCATTTGAAGTAGTTAAAGTGACGCTTCAATCTAATAGGGCCTTGGCTGCGCAAGTACCAAGTACATGGTCAGTGACAAGGCAAATTGTCCGAGAGAATGGCTTAGGTTTTAGAGGGTTAAATAAAGGTCTTACGGCAACGATAGCCAGAAATGGGATATTTAATATGGTTTATTTTGGATTTTATCATAGCGTAAAAGGATATTTACCGGAATATGAGGTAAGTCATTTACCAAATCACGACTGTGATATGCATTTTATCGTACCTGTAATATGCCAGTGACATGTCCTTAGTAATTACTACGACCCGGCATGAAAAAATCTGTCACTCTCCGACCCATAAACCGTGTCTAAAAATCACATCAACCTATGATTGCGTTCCTGCATGGTGGATGCACAACTGAATAAAAAAATTATTTCGATTTAAAATAACAAGTTCATATAAATAATAGCAAGCATTAACATATAACCTTTATTTTTACAAGATTTGCTAAATTATTAAAGGTTATTATTTATGCGTTAAACATTCAACAGCGCTCTATTTTTCCGCAAAAACGTAAATATTTTAAAACTTCTTAGGTGATACTCGAAATAACGGAGAAACTGTTTACTTACAGATAACTTTATCAGTTCTGAGATACTGCTTTCATTTATCTATATATTGTGATATTTTATCTCTTGTTGAGCTTTTTTAACAATAATGTCTTCTCATTGAGGTCATTCTCAATCTTTAGTTACCGTAAATAAACAAGATAAAGGATATGGTACATCACAACGCCAATATATTTGAGTACCGCGCGTGGACGTAGGTACCTATTAGGTAATTCGATGTTTGCATAATGCATAGCTTGAATAGTTCGAACTAGTTCAAGTTCATATAACATCCAGTGTTGTTTGCGCTACCAAACGAATAAGTTCTCTAGAAATAAATTCATTTGACAGTTAAGAAACTATTATAGTACTTCTACTAATTGTTAATATTAAACTAAAAAAAAGGTTCCTACATTTTTCATTATCATACTAGCTTTTGCACCCAGCGTCGCTTGCATAAACGGAAAATATTTTTAATACTTTAATTCACTTTCCATTTGAACCAATTTTTATGGCGACCTTATCTGGTTGAACGTTGTTGAAACTAATGCACTGCAGTATCTAGTGGCGAGTTATGGGTTATATAGGAAAATCGATACTATCAAAAACTTATCCTTGTAAAAATACTTGCACGTACATATCAAAAATTTTCAAGCAACAACAGGCGTGTACAATATATACATAGGGTCTTACAACTTCAAAATATTTGCAGAAATAAAAAAAATATTAATATTCTAGCGACTCACTCTCACTTCGCTCGGGTTCGTCTCTAGCTCGCTTCCCAATACAAATTTTCATTCCCATTTTCACACCCTTAAGGGATGATTTCCGGGATAAAAAGTATGCTATGCCCTTCCGAAGGTCTTAAACTATCTTCTTACCAAATTTCATCTAAATCGGATCATGAGTTTTAAAAAAAATCTTACTTTAGTATATATGTTTTTTAATTGTCTTCCATACACAAGTTGTCCGGACAATAACAAACACAAAAAAAATATCCAATTTGGTGCAGTCGATCGGAAGTTAAGCGCGTACATACATTTCGGTGATTCATTTTTATTTTTATAGATAAAGATATAATAAAAATAATAAATATTGTTATGTTTCTTTATGTTTATCTAATAACAATATTCGATATAAGTATTTACATGTCTAAATATAAATTATGTGCTATGGCTATTTACAGGATCCACTTTTAGAGTTTGGACGCAAAGTCGCCATTGGTTTTACGTCAGGAGTTTTGGGTTCTTGCGTAAATATTCCATTTGACGTTGCGAAAAGTCGAATACAGGGCCCGCAGCCGACGCCTGGTATAATTAAATATAGTTCCACTACTGGAGCCATCATCCTAGTGTACAAAGAAGAAGGGTGAGTACATTTAACTTCTTAATACAAGATATGCGATTATTGTTTTTTCTGTCTATGTTTCTTATTAAAAAGGCTAAATCTTAAGGGAGGACTCCTTAATTTGAATTTTAACAAAAATATTTACTGCTAGTGGTTCACCTTAGTCTTGCTCGGGTTCGTCTGTAGGTACGTTTTAACTTTTAGAATTGAATAGATAGATTATATTATATTACTGCTCCGCTTCCTTGGGTAGTAGTATGATGATGTATACTATAGCTTTCCTCAATAAACGGGCTATCTAATACAAAAAGAATGTTTCAAATCGGATTAGTAATTTCTGAGATTAGCGCGTTTAAACAAACAAACTGCCTCTGCCTCTTTATAATATTAATATAGATTACTACTACTTTGCGAGTTGAATAAGTGTATAAGTTTTTAAATTAACTGTAGTGCACACAAGTTGGTTCGGTTTAATTTGTCTACATTAGTATTTACTTACCTTCTAGCGACTCACCCTCGCTTTGCTCAGGTTCATCCCTAGTTACGTTTTGACTTTACGACGCTTAGTTTTGAATAGATTTTTTTTGTGAATTTATACTTCCTACTTGTTTTAGTTTGTAATTAATTGTAATCGTTTGTTTTAATACGTTTTCTGCTGTGTGCGGGGTGAAGACAATTCCAATAAAATAAAGATCATAAAAATCGGTCCAGCAGTTCTCGAGTTATAATACAACAACATTAATAATTAAGAACTTAATTACTTTCCGTAATTAAGATCTTAATTATTCATAGAAGAATGTTTGCTTATTAAAAAAAAGAATTACTAAATTTTATGTGTATAATGTTTTAAATGTATATTCAGAGTTAATACTGGTTGTTCAAACCAGTACCTATTAAGAATTAGTTTTTTTTAGCTGTGGGAATACAAACACAAATTCGCATGATATCTACCTATTATATTATGGCAATGCAACCTGAGTCACTTATTACAACTACATTCAACATATTCTATTACGAGTGTATATGTATTTAACATCAATACTGTTTACTGATAAACATCGCAAATATGTATATGCATTGGTTATAAAAAATGTTTTTTTTTTAAATATTATGTTACATATTTTTTTATTATTTATAAGAAAGTCTGTGAGAAGAGGCTAACTTTTGTGAACTTATCAACCGGTAACTTATTGATTAGAAATAATCTGCCCTTTAAAAATAGGTAGAGTGACGGACGGATTCGGTTTTATTCTACTTTGTTAATATTGCACTGCTGAGTACGGGCATGACTTTAATACAAGGAGAATCAGTCCATAGTCCACAATACTAGCAAAGTGCAGACTTCACACGTATTTCGAAAACTAGTTAGATTCCCTCAGATATGCAAGGTTCCTCACGATGTTTTCCTTTACCGTACGGCGATAGGTAACCATGTTGGAATTGATTCACACATGAGAATATCAGATCACTTGATTTTCCAAGCGAGCGTGTTCATTGTCATCCATATTTTGTAACCCTAAGTAAAATTAACCTTATCAAAAAAAATTGAATGCTTAGAAATAGCGGTCATATGTCTTTGTAGTCTCATTTTTGTGCAATTCTCATAGCTCAGTTATTACTATTATTGTTTTTATTTTAATTATTAAAGTACATTTATACTTTTTTATACGTACATTCGTGTTGATGAGCAGAGTTCAAAGAGCAAATCTATTTTAAATAAAACGCGCCTAAAATACCTACTATATAAACAAATACATTTCACAGATTCAAGTTTCGAAAATAATTTTCTAAATAGACAGTAAAAAATATAATGTAGTATGAAATTATGTAACATAATTTAATTTTACCATTCTATTCTAAATACAAGGTAATACTGTATACGCTTATCACTTTTCAGTGTATACTGTAAAATAATACATAGACATTGAACTAAACTATCAGTTTTAGTATGGCTGCGTGCCAAAAATGAACGTAGTACCTGGTGGTTACTAGTATAGAACTGGCTGTTAGTGATTAGTTTTTTATTTTTAAATAAATGTTTGATTCATTAATGAATTCTTCCAAAAATTTTAATATTTTATAAAATATTGTACAGATATATTTCCCATTCATCTTATCATCTTATTCAATTAATATGTAATTCAGATCTCTGGACTTAGAAGTATTAATCACAATCTGAGGGCAGATTTTGATTGATCATTAAAACTTAGTATTATTAAGTCTTCGGTTTCGATTAGAGAAACACATTTTAGTATATTCGGAACACTAAAATGTGTAACTATACATATATATATATATATATATATATATATATATATATATATAATAATGAAATATATATAATAATGAATACTTTAAGGTTTAAATACACTATATCAAAGACATAAAGCAAAGCGTTCAATTTTGAGTGTTCTCACTTCTCAAACAAAACAAATGACTGGTTTGGCTACTACATATTTATATTGGAATTTCGAGTACTATAGCATTGCGGACATGTACATAATGTTTCATTTATTTGTGCCATGAGACAACTTTTCAGAATATAGTGAATTAGTCTTTTAATGATCTCATGATAAACAAGTTTCTTGGATATTTTCCAATTCTACGTCATAAACCAGTTTTATGAAAAACAAAGAAAAATATTTTATTTTTAAGTCTCATTCGATCTTTTACTTTTACTAAAGTATCACATAATATTAATGAGAAAAACAATCATAACAATAATAAATAATCAGTCATATATTTACCTAATTACTTAAATATTAGTGCATATATAATTTTATTTTAAACGGAAACAGCTGTTGAACACGGTCCAAATTTATGTTTTTATCAAGCATGTTTGCGCACATATATCTACATATAATATGTACATATGTAACAAACTTATACATGTTATTAATAAAGGAAGTCAATGAACTTAATCATAAAATCTATTTTCATGGCTGACTAGCCAATTAGGAGAATTATGAATGAGTGACAAATATTTCAACAAAATGGACAATGTACTGAAAAGAGAATAGAACCTATGTCATAATATGTGCTTGTGACATTGCCAACTGCCGCTATTTATTTTTTTCAGAATTTTTGGCTCAAGATAAAATTACTAGGTATTTATTATATGAATAGAGATAGTCTCTAAAACGATTAAAAAATATAGCAATGGTGTTGTAAAGTGCTTGTAAAGGTTTAAATGAACATCCCCATTGAAAAACTCCAATAGGATCTCATGAAGAGCGACAAAAGCCACATACAAACCAATAAATGTTTATTGGTTTCTATGTGGCTATTGTCGCTTTTGATAAGATCCTTTTGGAGTTTTTTTAATAGGGATTGTATCATATGCATAAGTTCTTCAAATAATACCAACTAAGTGATTTAAGTATCTTTTAGAATAAAGTAAGATCACAAACATGTAAATCTAAAATAGTATTCAAAATTTAACAATTAATTGGTAATTAACAGATACATGATCGTTAGTTATCAGAAGTTAGAACATATTAATAATAATCACAACTCTGTGTATAATATTTTAAAAATTATAGATCAAAGTTCATACAGAAGTAAAAGTTTTTTGGACTGTTATACATATACGAGTATGTAGTTTATCCTACAAACTGCAAATTGCAATCGTTAACTCTAAAAAGTCAGTACCAATACGGGACAATATATCTACAAAGACCCGTAAGATGCACAAAGCTGAAAGAAGTTATGTGGTATATGAAAAAATATATTTAAAATTAAGCAAATATTAATTTACTTCTATATTTTCAGGTTCCGCGCACTGTACAAAGGATTATTGCCAAAAGTACTCCGGCTAGGACCAGGAGGAGCCATTATGTTAGTGGTATACGACTATGTATATAATTATTTAGGAAATAGATTTCAAGATAAACGTGATTTCTAAAATGTAATCTTTGTAATTCTATACAAAACATGGCCACGTTACATGAAGTGCTAAAAGTAAATGTAAGCCTATCAAGACAAAGGTCTTTGTTGGTTTGGATATGTTGAAAGGATAACGTTGAGTGTATAATTTAAAACAATAAAAATTGTTATGTGAGATCAAATATAAGTATATATTAATAGGTTAATTTTTCACGAAAAATTTTAAAGCATTAGATGTTTTTTACTACAGCACTTTACTGCTAGATATTCGATATTTTGAAGGGAGCGGTAATAATGTATACCTATGTTAAATAAAAAATAATAGAAAATGAAAACATTTGAAACATATTGATACGGGAATATTTTTGATGGATACCTATTAGAATATTGTGATATTTTGATAATTTATTAAATATTGTGACACATTTCTTTGCGTTTAGTGATTGTAAACTTTAATTATATACAATTTTATACAGCATTTATGATTATGTACAATATATTATGTAAATAATATTTTACACCCACAATAAAAATATATTACTAATTATACTTACTATTAGATATTACAGTTCTTTTATTTTAGCCCATACCTCATACATACATACATACATACATACATATAGCGAAGATAAGTCCAAAACCGGGTATGGGGATAAAACCGGGATATGACACTAATGTCCGATTTCACCAACGTCACCTAAGTTTAAGGGATCCCCTAAGCATGTTTAGGGGGCTGTTAGGGGACAGTTTCTGTTTCGCTGACAGTTAGGGGTCACCTAAATATTAAAATGCCACCTAAATATAGGTACTAGAAATACGGGCTCTGACGATGGTTAAACGAAATTTAATTTAGGGGCTAGTTTAGGGGAACTTTTAAATTCCCCCCCAACGTGCGTTCACCTTGTCGGTTGTCGTGGTGGGGGGGCTCAGTAGTGTACTCGCGAAGCCAAGAAACGCACAGGGAGGTGGCCCGCTTCGGTGGGCGGTGGGAGGCGGCCTTCTTCGGAGGGCGGTGTACCATGCGGGTTGCTCCTGGTACTTCTCTGATAGCAGAGTGGACCGTGGAGCAACCCCATGGTTGTTGTGGTCTGCTTCGGCAGACCTGCCGTCGGGGCGTCGTAGTTGAATGCGTAAGCGATCCTGCGACGCCCCATTAAGACGGGGGAAGGTTTTGTTGGGTTTTAGTGGGTAGTACTGGCTTCGCCGGTGAGTCCCACACTTCGTGCGTAAATGCATTTCCCAACGTTAAAAAAAAAGGGGAACTTTTAAATTAGGGATCCCATACATAGGTGGTAGCTTAAGTAATGTTGGTTTTTAAATGTATTTCAAATTTTCGCCCGCTTCGTTATTAGCAGTCAGTCATCCTGGATAGTTTGTCAACAAAAGTTAAATAGCGTGCGTATGTGCCCGTTAGAAATATTTCAGAAAACGGTTTTTACGAAGGTTTGATATAATTTTAGACGGATTTCAAAGGTGTTCTATAATCTTGTATGTCAAGGTAAGTGGAATTTGTTTTTGTTGTAAAATTTAAGTGTGTATTAATGATAAACAAACATTGGTTGAATCTTTATTGCGACATGTTTTTAGGTTACATAATTATGTACCAACTGTATTTCTCTTTGGTGCGCTTGGGATAAAATCGTACGGGGTAACCCTGTGATATAATTTTGAATGATGAATTGTTACAGTTCACAACAAAATGCCACGAAATTATAAAAAAACGACGAATCGACAATCCGGGAGTAAAGAAATTATGAACAATACCATTTTAGCAATAATAGACGGAAAATGTGGATATCGTCTTTCTTATTGAAAAATTTCCAAAAAGAAAAAGATTTCAGACGATAAGTGATAATTTGTTGCAATGTCTTAATAAGTGAGGAATAAGCCCATGAAAGCTGTACCTACTGGTTGAGTGTCCAAGATGAACTAGAAGAGTTCCATTGCTTCCTTGTTAAGCGGCAAAGTCGGGTATCAATAGTTGATGTACCCGGTTTCGAGCCAGGTATGGGGCAAAACTGTAAAAAGTTAACTTTTGAAAATGATATTTTTTTATTACTTACAATAATGAAAACAGTGATCCTGTTGATCAAATATGTAACTATTAAGTTAAAGTAAACGAAATCTATCTTAAGTTATTTTATAATAATTGCAATATTTTTGTTATTTAATATTTCTCTTAGCGTCTCGATTTTACCCCACTTTCCCATACATAGGTTAACATATATAACATTAGGTGTCCTTAGTAGTGCAAATTATGCGGGCAACTATTGTTCTTTTAAAAACTATTTGTTTACAAAACTGGAATACAATGATGTTATCTGATGATATATTTTCTTTACACCTACGAATTCGGGAAAATCGAATTGAAATGCCTATTACCTACTTGATTTTTCTTTCTAGACTTCTTTTGTACCATCCTAGTTTTTTTTATTAAAGCTTTACACTATGATTAAAAACCAATTTTAAAGTGATTATTAACCAACGCTATCTAGTATTATGTGAAATATTTTGTAATCAGCTGGCAATTAGTTTATTTTTATTGTTTTAAAAATTTAAAATATAAGAAATATTTTAATAATTATAATAATTTTAAAATAGATTTATAAATTAATATTTTTTTTATAAATATCGGTTTTTGTTGTAATTATTTTTATATGGTAACTTTAAAATACGGTTTAGTAATAAAAATGTCTACCATATTGTGTTGTTTTGTCACTGAGATAGAACTGTTTCTAACTAAATTTTATTTGTAAACAAAACATTGATCTAGAAGTTTAGGTATTCTAACTTGAAGGAAACAAGATTTGAGAAGAAGAAATAAAAGGGTAGGCTATTTTTAAACAAATTTCATGGTGCATAAGTTAATATTACTTATTATGTTAATTGTCAACATTTTACAAAAGAATTCATTGTTTGTACATATAATGTAAAAAAAATATCATTATTATGTGTAAAATCTTATTTAAAGTTACAGTTCAATATATTAATAAAAGCTTAATACGATCGTAACGCTAATATAAAAGTTATCGCTCAATTTCAGATATAATATACAATGGATCAAATGCAAGTGCCGGCAAGTCTGCCGCATATAGTGCAAGTGTATCCTCCATCAGTCTCGATACATCCGTCCCTGCACTCACAAGGCAAGGTTTCTTACCAACAGACCATTACATCTGAGTCACTACAAATACCAGTTACTTCACATATTCATGACATTCAAAACCAGCATTTAATATCTCAAAATCAAACTGTTATGTCCTGCCAACAGATACATTTACAGAATGTGCAACCAATACAAACTCAAATGCAATCTCTCCAAGGAGACATGACGCAGCAGTTACAAATTACTTCTCATGTCATTCTACCACAAGTGCCTATGTTTAAACAGCATCTGTTAACTAATAGCTTGCAACAACAGTATTTTGGTCAATATGAGACATTTTTGAAAGATCCACCATGTGTGATTGCTAAGGTTGAGCCTGAAGTTCAAGTTATAAATGAAAAGCCTATAGAGTAAGTGAATAATATTATTTATTTATGTACCTATTTATCAGTATGTAGTATCCTGTAGTAGTATCATGTAAATATGTAGGTACTTATTGTAAGATAATTTACTTAAAAAAAAAGGAAAAATATAATAATTAATCTGATATTTTTAAATGAAATAATCTAAGATACTCCTACAATATTTTCAGGACTAAACCAGAGACAATTAATGAAGTGGAAGTGAAAAAAAAGAAGATAAAAAGACCCTTCCGAAGTAAAGTTCGCAACCCTAGCTCTTGGGCTTGTAATGTGCGAAAATTGAAACACCAAAGAGGTGAAGCATATATTAGTTGTAGAGGAAAATATGTCCCTGAAAAACAAGTGAGCACAACTAAAGACTGTTTGTATTCATGCAAATTCAAATGCAATGAAAAAATTAGTGATGCAGATAGACAACATATTTTTAGTGCCTTTTACTCCTTAAACGCTAATGAGAAAAAACATTTTTTACTTAACACTACTGAGCGAAATAGTATAAAAGCTAAGAAAAAAGACTTAGAAAATAATAAAAGAAAGTATGCATTTAAATATTTTTTTGTTGTACGAGCAGTAAGACATGTAGTATGTAAGAATTTTTACTTGGGCACTTTAGCAATATCTCAAAGACCAATATACAATGTTCATATGAGTAAATCGGAATTAAATTTACCTAAGCCTGATGGCAGAGGACAGTCTGAGTCCAGTGCACATCCATTGCCAGCGGAACTAAAAGACAGAGTTAGAAAACATATAATGTCCTACACAACTATTGACGGTAAACCTATAAAACAATTTTCCTTAAAAAAACAATATCTAGCGTCTAATTTAAGTATAAAGCAAATGTACAATATGTACGTAAGCGAATGTACTAAAGATAATGCAACACCTGTTAAAGATTCGATGTATAGAAAGATTGTGAGAATGGAATTCAATGTGCATTTTAAAAAAGATAAGCCCGGACAGCAACTTTGTACTAAATGTAAAGGATCTTTGAAACAAAAATGATTTATATTACATACAATAATATTGTTTTAAAAAATGATTATTTTTATCCATGACATTGTAAAGACATGTAAAAGGTTTGAATAAAACCAGCTTGGAATGGAATATGGAGAGTATAAGCAAGCACAGGGCTATAAGAAAAAATATCCCTTAAAAAACCATTGAAATAATACTCTTTACAAAGAAAACTGAGTAGTAATAAATTTAACAATTTATATATAATAACAATAAACAATTTATATATATTAATTAAAAATTGCGAAACTTAAGGTCACAGAGTGGCTCTCCATTTTCTGTAAAAAAAGCCCTAAGATTTTTTGGACATATTATGCGATCATCCAAGCACAGTCTAGAGAAACTTATTATTTTATTAAAGGCCAAATTGACGGTAGACGTGCACGGGGAAGGGCACCTGTAAGTTGGTCGAACGGGATAAAGTAGGCAGTCGGCGCTACTCTCCATACTGCAGTCCAGGCATCGCTGAACCGAACTGACTGACAATAAGTGGTCTCGATCCTCTTCAGTGAAGGAACGAGGAAAAAGAAAAAAGTAATAAAAAAAAGTAAAGTAAAAAGGCCTTAAAATATGAAAACATAGATATTATAAATTTTATATACATTAATATACGTGTGCTTCTTTTACTTTTTTCATTTCGTGGCTGTCTGTGTATCCATCATAATCTCTTGAGTTATGAATATTCTAACAAAAAATATAAAGTAAATATTTAATTAATTTTAGGAGTTTATTTTAGATGACAAATTAGAACATTAACCTAAAACATTAAGTTCATAATATCATCTCAGAGCGACAAATAAATATATGTGTATTATTTTAAAATTCAGAATATGTGAAATATTATATGCAAATTTGTCATTGCATAAGTTTCAGAAATGAAAATCTATTTTAAAGAAAAAAAAGTTTAGTTTAAAAAATAATTTATTGTTTTTTTTTTATTATTAATAAGTGTTGTACAATGTATTAATTGATTTATGGAAGAAATCCGTTGCTGTAAACGGGATTGTAAAATCCTAAAAATACATCACAATAATTCAATTAAATTATATTAGTACCTAAATGTAGAAAACTATTTTTTTTAATATTAAAATTTGATTTAATTTTCTTGATGAACCTGGACTATAACAAATTATTCACATACAATTAAATCAGTATTATCATTTCTTTTTTAGAAGTTGGTTAAAATAGAATAAAAATTAAACAATAAATGTTCATGTTTTGACAGTTAATAATTGTAAATCAACCATAGACGTAGAGAATGCTCTGAGCAATACTATCATGAAACTGACATTCTAGAAAGAGACAAAGCGAACGCGCGGCCAATTTCTTTATAAATGGAATATAAAAAAATATAATATAATGAAATGTAAAATTGTACATTCATTTTGTCTCTGTCGCACCTTTCCGCCATTTTTAGCCGACGGCTGGCAGAGAAACAGTCCACTCTCTATGTCTGTGAAATCAACATAATACAGCTAACTCCAAGAGTAAGGCATGTTTCACACTTTCAATTTAAATTATTCTGCCTTTTGTGTAAACAATATAAAATTTTAAAATAACTATATTACTGGAATGTCACAATGGAGATATAATTTAAGTATTTTTTTAACTTTAGCTAAATGTTAGGTATATTATTTTGTGTCTGCCATTCTATAGAAAAAATTACAAAATATATTTACATTTCCAATAAATCAGTTCTGGTAACACAACACACTTGAAATTTCCATCTTTAAATCTATATCCTATTAATTGATCCTCGCCGGTATGAGGATGCAGGCCAAGTCTTCTCCATCCTCGTTCTGAAGCTCCCACTTTACATCCACTCGCACCTTCGGGTACGACTTGAGAATCGGCATTGTAGTTTTGTAAGATTGCTTATCACCAGCCTGTAAAAAAGGTATACATTGAGTTTTTATATTCTTGTTTGCTATTTTTAATATAAAATATGTATATGGTTGCTCGGCAGTGATAGTCCAATGGTGATGCTTGGGAAATGGAGTGAAGCGGGTTCAAATCCTGGATCTCGCACCTGATATTATTATGTGCGAATCATTTTCAACATGCTTACCACTGGTCTTACGGTGAAGCAAAACATCGTGAGGAAACCTGCATGTCTGAAAGAACTTAGCATGTTTCGGATGTCATGTGAAGTCAAAGGCCAATCCGCACTTGGCCATCGTGGTAGACTATTGCCTCATCTCGCTCGTATTGAAGGGAGGCCCGTGCCCAGCAGTGGTACGTTACAAAATTGCTGAATACTTGTGATTGCTGATTTATTGAGAAAGGTTATTGGTTTCATCAAAACATTAAACAATTTTGGTTGACTAAACACAAAGTGCCCTACTTATTATTTTCGCTCTCAAACAGGGGTTAGAAATCAGGTGCATGACCGACGTGACACGTGCTCTCCGATTCACGTGGGTGAAACACGCTACTTTCCAACTCCGGGCTATTACTGTTTCTTTGATATAAAAATCTGAAAAGCATACCTGGCCCGACCCGGGACTCGAACTCGGGACGCAAAAATCTGTAGCCGAGAGTAGTTTAGTAATGACAAAGCAGGAAGTCTATCCAGGGGAAAATATAACTTACTTTCAAGGGGCATACAAGTCCACTATCCTTGCAAGCGTCAGGTTGCGGCAGTGGGAACGGTACGGGCAGGTTCATGATGACCCCGTGCACCACCGTCTCCAGGGCTTTAACATTCACAGCTGGAAATGATGAAAAAAACATTGTAATTTGTGAATATAAAAATGTCGTTATCAAAACGTCGATTGTTAAGTTTTTTTGCATTGTAAATAGAGAATTAACATGATAAGTATCACTCACGTTAGAAAGTTAAAGTCTTTAAATATCGTATAAGGTTTTCTTTCTCTATTCTCCTTCCCGTCAAATTTCTCTTTTTTTAACTTGTCTGTTAAATATTTTTTAATAATCATATTTATATATTTTTTATATAATAAGTACATGTTTGTAATTTTTTCACGCTTAACAGCTCAACGGATTTGATTTTCTGGTGATAATCTTAAATTAATCTTGGATTAGCATATAGGCATAATTATAAGTGGTGTTGAGAACAAAGGTTTTAATACTATTATACTTACAAGGTGTAAATTCGACAGAAATCGTAGCATTAGTGTTCCTTCTCAGCACGCACTCCTTCGCGTCCTGTGAACACCCGCTCACGTCCACGCTCTGCACTGTCGCGAGTTTTGAACCTGAACGTAAAACAAATAAAAATAAATCATCCCTTAAACATTATTTTTTTCTTATCTTAAAGATATATAATTAATAATAGTCTGTGCAATTCACACATGGTATAAGTGAAACTTCAGAAAAGTAACCTACGAGAGAATGAGATCAATATAGCTTCAGGAGTGGGTAATGACATACTTAGTAGTCTGAGCAAGACACCACGAACCACTAGGTAATAGGAAGGTCGTTTTAGGCTAAAATGAATAGTAGGTACTCACTATGGTGCTTTGTACGCAAATATATTGTAGACTAAAAAACATAATTAAATAAAATGTAAATTTACTTAAAGCACTATTTGACTTTGTCTTAATCATACCGTACTTCTGTAAATGTAAACAGTTTAAAGATGAATTATTAAGCAATTATCATCCTATTTTCAAGTTTCAGGTAGATTTGATGCACATGGCCTCATGTATTATTATAATTCAAACGTAAATTTTCCACTGAATGAGCTCCCACATGCGTTATTGAACAGCGAACTTGCCAGGGCTTATGCAAAGTTATGAGATATTGATTTAAACTTTTCTAATATGAATCACTTAAAAATATATGTATACACATCCATAAATACTTAATTTAGCTGTATTTTTTACCCGACTGTGGCGAAGCGCAATGGAGAGTTATGTATTTGATCTGTATGTATGTATATTCGATCCTGTATTCCCTTGTAATTACTAAATGACTTAATTAATTTTAATGATTCATATGTTGTTAGATTTGTCGTCATAACGCGAGTCTCATAGGCTATACGGCTATATAACAAAAAAATCTAATGGACTCTTTCAGGTGATTGTCCAGTACATAAATGCGCGGCCTCGGACAGTATATGTGTGTACCTATTTTATGTAGCAATTTATGTAGAGTCAATATTGTCATAGACATTTCTGCGCGAGACTCTGACATCAGACTTGGAATTAAATACGATCAATTCACATAATCAACTAATTAGCAGTGCATTCACTGGAGTTTATTTTAGGCATCTAATTTTAGATGGGGCTTTATTAAGGTTTTCTTCGTACCTACTTAAAACCAATGAAATGGTTCACTGGTATAAATACACTTAATTAAATGGTCTATTTATAATGTTTGAAACATCGATAACTTTTATATAATGCTTATTAAATCAATACTACATCCCAAAAATTATTATAAATGCGAAAGGTTGGATGGATGGATGTTTGTTTTTTTGTTACTCAATCACGCCAGAACGGCTGAACGGATCTGGATGAAATTTGGCACAGCGATAGATTATAGTTTTAACGGTTAGTATGGATATCTCGTGGGATACCTAGACTAACCGTTAAAACGTACCTAGGGATGAATCCGAGCTAAGCCAGGGAGTATCGCTAGTAATATTATAAATGTGAGCAAGAAGAACAAATAGCTCTGTCTGGTTGAATATCACTGCTGAAAAAAAAGTAAAATAGAACGAATTTATTTCATAATAAAGCCTATGAGCGTAAAACAAAAAAATGTTTAAAATTAAAATATTTTTTTATGTAAACATGGCATTTCTATGAAGAAATCATAATATTTAATAGTCACAAAAATACGCTTTTATTAGCTTTCCTTCTATGTAACAGAATCTTCGAAATCGATTTTATTCTTGGTTTAATCGTTTTATCGATATAAGTGAAATCTAGATGACAACCCAACAATTTGATGTCACCGAGCTGATGATGTAGTCAGCAGTAGAGTTGTACAATGTGACCATGTGAAACATCAGGTTATTTCAATGAAACTTATTTAATGGTCCTTGTTACTTGACCTATATTAGTATGCTTTATTTAATATAAAAGCTTTTGACCTCCTTTTTCGTAATATAAGTATAAATAATATAACTAAGTATTACATAAATATTAATGACTTTTAAAAAATTATTGAGTAATTAATACATATACATAACAGTAATTTAATTTTGATTTTTAATGAGTACAAAAAATAAATAAATAAGATCCTTCCAGATTCATCTGAATCAAAACAACAAATATGAAAAAAAAACAAACAAAAAGTCTATTGTTTCTTTTCGTTAGTATATTATTACGTATTTTTCCACATCTAAATGGCGCAATTTATTCTACATATATGTACATAGATACAAATAAGAGAATAGTATATAATTGAATCACGTTTTAATAACCTCTGCATTATAAATGTCATGGCCGTCACATACGAAAAGTTTTATAACGTACTGTGCATCGGACACACGGGGGACGGACAGTTTTATGGATGAAGTTAATAATTTCACTAATTAAAATTAATAAAATATGAAAATAATAAAATATGAAAATAATAAAATATGAAAATTCATAAAAACAACATGTTTTTCATAATCAAATGTATCCATTGCCATTTTATTGCTTTGTCGCTACTCAACGGACAGTTACTTTCCGACTCCAATTGAAATTGTTATGATTTTTAGCAGTAAACATATTTTTATTAGAATAACAGATAACCTATAATAGCACTCAGCGGCATCTTTAGCCTTTACAATATATCTAAGTGTTGATAAAAAGTATATATTTTTTTTATTTTTATAATTTTATTACATTTTTTTTAAGCACCAATCTAAACACTATTAGCGCAACAAAAACCATGTATGATTTTCCCGTGCAATGCGGATTCATACGCGGTAGTTAATTAAACATAAATCTATTAAAAACAGGTAAGAATATCACCAACTTGCGTTGTTTATATTATTTCGAGACGGCAGTGGCTTGTCACTGCACTAGCATATAACTGGTTTGTGATACAACTGTCTATACAGGCTGCTTAAGATAAAAGTTTTTTAATATATTTTTAATATTTTTTTTGGTAATTTTATCTTTTAATTTTACAAACCTAGGCCTTACCTGACACCGTAGAATGAGAATAATGTTAACAAAGTACAAGTAAATTATCTTGTTCTATAATTTTTATGTATACGTCATCTTGTGTTGATCATCATCGTTGATGACTAAACTTAATAAATAAATTTCGTTACTTTCGTTATTTTTTTAATTTTATTTTATTTATTTCTACACTCTGACGTACACTCTGTGAGTTGAGTTGTGTTTTAGGAGGGTGAAAAATACTTTACGACCTATTCTCATACCTACAAAATATACAAAAAAAATCATTAAAATCGGTCTAGCCGTTTCGGAGGAGTGCGACCACAAACACCGTGACACGAGATATTTATATATTAGAATTGTTAAACTTAATTATATAAATGGGAAGGGTTTTTGTTTATCATTTACGCAGTATTGAGGATTTATGATTAATTTATTATTTGTATATACAAAAAATAAATTAATCATTATCCTCAAAATATATTTGTACATAAAGTACTAATAATACCTATACTAAAAAATATTGTTTAAAGTCACCATGTACTTTTTCTAAAATAATTTAAAAATATCAAGCTTGTCAAATTGACATTCTTTTAAAATATCGCACAATAGTGTACATACTTTCTTAGATTTACGCTGATATTTGACGTTTTAAATAAAACTTTTTTAGAAGTTTTCATTTTACGAATATTTAAAAACGATCTACAGTTTACCTACCATTTACTTATTCAGATCCCAATTTAATATTTATATATAAAAAAATATTGCGTTGCTGATTGCTGTCCGTATTAAATTACAAATAATACAGACGATCGTAATTTGCTGTTAGTTATATTTACTCATGTTCTCATCACAACACATGTCTACCTTATAACTGTAGCACGTGACTACTCCATTCATTTTTACACGTAGGTATATTGTTCTATTAGCCACGACTCAAATTCGTTTAATATGGATGAAATAAAATCCTTTGTACATGATCGATTATATTATTATGACATATTTTTAAAGAAAATATAAAAAAAAAAAAAAAACATATACTATATGTACTTATACGCATGTTTTTTCAAGTTCTTATAAATTTCTTATATTTCGATTGGTCGACGTACGAGGGATAGACAGACTCAATCTTTGTTGCAGTTATGTCAATTAATTAATAGGTTATTGACATTGACAGTTAGTGGCCAAATTCTAATACCGCCAGTAAGTAGGTATAATAGGTATTGAGCGGATATACTTATTCAACGATTATGTCTTAGCCCGACAGGAATAAACATATTATGCAGGGACTCATATGATGCAGATTTGCCCCATACGTGAATAGAACCCGCGATAGTGGTTCAAGAGTTCTGTTGCGCCACGGTGTCCAATGTGTTATATAAGTACATATAAATAAAAGATTTTAGTTATTTCTTATTTTTCACACTATGTAATATTTCCACAAAAATATAGAAATGATATAGCTTAGTACCGGATTCTTGTGAAGGCTAAGAGTATTATGATGCGGAGGGCTCGTATATTTTTTGGTAAAAGTAAGAAAAATCTCAAGAATTTTGTAAATACGGAAGGAAGTTCTAGGAATTTTATTAAACACAACTTTTACATATATTACTAACGAAACCCACGGCTTCGCCTGCGCAAAAACTACAAAAACAGAACTCTCTAAAACACGTATTTATTTAATTGTATTGAATAGCATTAATACCAAGTTTGAAGTAATTCTGATCATAAATATTTTTAGAGTTGTATTATACCGTATTTTCCAGTTCGAATGAAGTAACCAGCATTCAAACTATCTCCACACAAAAATCACGCCAATACGTCATTCCATTCGACGTGAAAAATCAAAAAAGGACAAACAAACAAACAAATACACTTCCACATTTATAATATTAGTATGGATTTTATTTATTTAACTGTTGCTCATTATATATTGAAATTATGTTATTGAAAAATGAAAATATATCTACATATTATAGGTATACTACAACTTACGCTAAGCCAATAAAGTTTAAATTTATATAGAGTACTAGCGACCCACCCTCGCTTTCTTTGCTTTTATAATATTAATTAGTATATATATATATATATATATATATATTATATATATATATATATATATATATATATATAGTTAATTAATTAAAAGGTCTCAAAAGGTAGGTTTCATACAAACTTTCATCCCCTATTTTACCCCCTCAAGGGATAAATTTCGAAAAATGCTAAAACACGTATTTATTTAATTGTATTGAATAGCATTAATACCAAGTTTGAAGTAATTCTGATCATAAATATTTTTAGAGTTGTATTATACCGTATTTTCCAGTTCGAATGAAGTAACCAGCATTCAAACTATCTCCACACAAAAATCACGCCAATACGTCATTCCATTCGACGTGAAAAATCAAAAAAGGACAAACAAACAAACAAATACACTTCCACATTTATAATATTAGTATGGATTTTATTTATTTAACTGTTGCTCATTATATATTGAAATTATGTTATTGAAAAATGAAAATATATCTACATATTATAGGTATACTACAACTTACGCTAAGCCAATAAAGTTTAAATTTATATAGAGTACTAGCGACCCACCCTCGCTTTCTTTGCTTTTATAATATTAATTAGTATATATATATATATATATATATATATATATATATATATATATATATGAGTTAATTAATTAATTTGTAATTAGGTACACAGCACACCCGATACCTATCTAAAGAACTTGTATAACATGATTTAAAATGTACATTTGCGTTGTTAAATAATTTAAAAAATAACAAAGTTATAGTTATAACAAACAGTTCGCTACCAATTAATTATAATGTAGGTAGATTATAACTTTAAATGAATTTTGTTTTGATTTGTACACTAGTTTGTTTAGTTCACGACTAATATGAGGATTCTTTTTATAATACTTTCGTAGATTTACGCCAATATTTGTCATTTTAAATAAAACTATCTTTTCTGATTTTTTCGCGGATTTATTTGGATGTTTGGTTTCATATGTTTCGAATGCTTTATGGCAATCATGGTCACGGGAGAGACTGAGGTGTCAGATGTCTCGAAGGTATAGTTGTTACAGACAGCCTACCCACAAATACCACAAATTAAAAATGTTTAAAGTCATAAAATATTGTAAGGTACTGGGTGCAATTTTTCATTTTGTTTTTCTAAAATAAAATCAGCCTACGCTACTCAGGACGACAGGCAGCAGCCAGACAGACAACATATTCATAAATAATGTTTTTCTTATAAGTACCGCAAATAATTTCGTACAAATAATTTCATATTATTTGCGGTTATATTATATTCTCAATAAACGGGCTATCTAATGCAAAAAGAATTTTTCAAATTGGATTAATACTTTCCGAGATTAGCGCGTTCAAACAAACAAACTGTCTATTTATAATACCTTTTAGTATAAATTATAAATACAAAAGGCACTTAGAGACGCACCCGAGTAAAGTGAAAATAAATCGCTAGTAAGCTACTCGTATACGTACCTATGATCGTTTGACACATACAGTTATAAATAAGAGCAACTGGACGAAAACAATACAACAAATGAAGCGTTAACAATCATACACAATGAGTAAAATGATAGCCTTTGTCCTCTGCCCGGTGTCGTCGTTGAATAAAACGTATTTTGATACGATATGCTGACTTCGGTTTTTTAAATATAAATAACCAGCCAATTGTATATAAATAGTGTGTTTATTTATTAAAGGAATAAAGTCTATAGACCACAGATAATAAATATTGCATTTTTTTGCATTTTATTGTCCACATAATACGGTCTATGGATATTATGCACTCGTATATTTTTACCAAAAATATTTTCAAAAGTCAGATAACGGCTTTGTACGTGAGATTTTTATGTGTTGTCGATAATACTGATAACGATTTTTATACCTATGCGTTGGATATCTTCTGATCTATTTCATAGATTAACAATGTTTCTAAATTCAAACAATAAAGAAAGACTCGTTTTTTTTTAATTGTGCGGACTTCTTTACAGGGAAAAACTCCTTGAAAGAAATTTTTCAGAACAATAATAGCTAACATCCAAATGAAACTAAAGTTAATAACTTAGCAAAACTTATTGACTTGAAAGCTCAAAGAAGCTTCTATTTATCTGCTCTCTGGCACTTAATTATCTTGGTCTGCATTTTTGTTATTATAAAGACCGTCTGAAACCGATCAATATAATTAATAATTATATATTTAATAATACTTTTATTATTATAAATACTTAGAATCTCTAAATCTATTATTACGTATTTTTGTATTATTAGTATTTATTTTGCTAGTTAGTAATTACTTATATTTAGCAAGAAGTTGTTGAAACTTTTCATAATTTCACAAATTATATGTAAATAAATCCTGTAAAATTAGAAGTTTTACATTATGCAGCTTCTTTATATTATATTACCTATATTTTATTTAAAAATATTGTGTGCGCAGTAATCATTAATTACATATACGTTCTAATATGTATGTATGTTATGATTTTTATCATTGCAATATAAGAAAAAAAATAAAAAAGTCCATACCACAGTCCGTGTAAAATTTGGCCTGCGCACTCGCAAGACACACAGCAAACACGACGTAGACGAACATTTTGATTGTCTTTACTTTTCAGTGTAATCGCGCGCTAACGTAACGTCGACTCGCGCGTCGGAGGCGGACTGGTCACTGGTGAGCGGGCGGGTGAGTGTGTGCGACCTTTATATTCTTTTATAATGCGCTCGCGCATGTCACAGAATATAACATTTGGTAGAGTTACTACTTTTTTTTCTTTTTTTATAAAAATTAATTAATTAATTAATTATTGTTAAAATTAAAATTTAACGTTAAAAATAGCAAATTTAAAGTTAAGACAGACCTTGAGAAGCATTTTATGTTCATTCAGTTTTAATAATTTTTAATAAGTTTTTATAAATTTTTCTATGTGATTATCAATGATTTTCAGGAAATTAAGCAATTTAAATGATAAACCTTCTTATTCAGTGTATTAACGTTAAGTCAATTAGAAAAAAGATAGTAAACAACAAAAATAAAATACACATTAAGTACAAATAGTATAGTCTCATTCCATATCGTTTCTATTTCAACACATCCTCTATGCCGCAACCGGAAACACATTGTAACCGCCATGTTTCAGGAAAATGGTACGCATGATGCGAATAATGTTACTGATTTATAAACAAACAATTTGCCAAAATAATGAGATTATAATATGACTGACAAGCAGTCATTTGATTCATTTATATTTATCTATATTTATTCGAGGAAGTTAAACACTGATAAGGTAATGACTCGTCGAAGTAAAATTTGGAATGTCATAAATATTGTTGTTACGATGATTTACGACCACTGGCTAAATGTTGTGTAGGAAAGAGACATGCTAACACTGTAAAAGAACGTGGGTGGGTAGTAGTACTTTAAAAAACATTGACATTTGAAGACGACACGTTTGGCTCAGTTTGTTATGGTATACTTGGTGTGCCTGTGGTCGTCGGTTCGAGTCCCGCTGGGGGCTCTCATTTGGTCATTAGCACGAATGTTTGTACTCCAGTCATGGGTGTTTATATTTATAATCTATACTTCTATATCTATACTAATAATATAAATGTGAAAGTGTGTTTGTTTGTTTGTCCTTCTTTCACGTCAAAACGGAGTGACGGATTGGCGTGATTTTTTGTGTGGAGATAGTTGGAGGGCTGGAGAGTGACATAGGCTACTTTTTACCGTGGGAGATTATCTAATGCCTACAGAAAAACACATTATATTACAATCCAAACAAATGTTAAAGATCAGAATTACTTGAAACTTTGTATTAATGCTCTGGTATCGAAACAACGATAACACACGGTAATAAGTACATTAGGATATTACAGTATCCTGAGAGCATCAAAGTTTGTTTTAAGAAAATATAATTAATTATTACAGGAAGTCAGGATAATGAGGCATAGTGCATATAAATGCGGCTACGGCCTTTGCTGGGTTGATCAAAGTATTGTCATCTTTGTGCTAATTGCAAACACTAAGGATATTTATATATTATAATTGACGACACGTTTGGCTCAGTTTCTAGTGACCCTACTTGCTGCGCCAGCGGTTGCGGGTTCGAGTCCCGCTGTCATCATTCAATTGTGTGATGAGCATCAATGTTTGTACTCCAGTCATGGGTGTTTATATTTATAATATGTATGTATTTATAGTTATATATGTATAATGTGTCGACTATCTGGTATCCATAACACAAGCCTCGTAAGTCGTAGCTTACCATGGAACTAGATGGTGTTGCGTGTTAATGTCCTGACATATTTATTATATTTAATACACTAGTTACTAAGTCCGGATTCATCTGGGCATTTTTACAATCTAACATTTCTTGAAATATCTGTTACTGAAGGAGTTAAACTTTAAAACGCTGAAAAAAATTATTATCTTAAACTTATCAACTCTTTACCCTCATTTTTTTAATTCCAAAAAAAACTTTTCGAAAGTATACTTTTTTATCTTTGGTTGGTTACTTTGCGTTTGAGTTGTTTAGGTAAAAACTTAAAAAATATTACTGACTGTAAGACTGTTTTTTTTTTAATTTAAAACTGAATCAAATTAATTATTAAATAATTGCACTATTACACTTTTTTTTAATATTAATAATGAAATATAATATTAAATTATTTAATTATAATTTTTAGTTTATTTATGTTTTAAATGTTTAGATCCTTTTGATAACTTTAAATTAAGCCCTCAGTCTACCAAAAACTTAGTCTAGAGAAAAACTCTAACTTAACGTTCAGTAAAAAATATAGTAATTAAAGGCTTATATATTTTTTTAATAATCACCATCACACAATCATTATCACAGGTGATTATTATTAATCACCTAAAAGTAAACAGTAATTAATAAAGTTATGAGTTATAATTTTTATTAATTGTATTGTATGTATTCAGCCCTTTTTGACGTCCCACTGTTGGGCACGGGCTTCCCTTTAATACGAGGGGGATCAGGCCATAGTGCACCACGTTGGGCAAGTGCGGGTTGGCAGATTTCACATGTCTTTTGAAAACTTGCTAGGTTCTCTGAGACATGCAGTTTCCTCACGATGTTTTCCTTCACTGTTAAGAGAAGTGGTAATCATGTTGGAAATGATTCGCACATAAAAATATCAGATGTGCAAGACCCGGGATTTGAACCCGCTTCACTCGGTTTCCCAAGCGAGTGCGTTACCACTGGGCTACCACTTTATAGTTTATAGTTAAAAATATTGTATCGTCGAAATAATAGTTATATTACTTCAACTTTATGATAGTTATGCGTCACAAAGCAAAGCAGCGGTTCATACGAATTTCATACTATACTACAATATATAGCTATAAATCATAATGATAAGAGACATTCCAAAGGTCAACATATGATTTTTTAATTGCTTTTATATATATATATATATATATAATGTTTTTCATAATGCCTAAGTATAGATATTATCAGGTTAGAAACATTTTTATTGAGAACTAGCTGACCCGACAGACGTTGTCCTGTCTACACGTCTTTAATTTGAAAATTTCAAACTTTTTTTAATAAGCTAAAACATTCTGGAACATTTTGATGAAAATTATTATTCAAATTGTGAATCTAAACCATTCTCAGATCCTCTTGAACACACACAAAAAATTTCATCAAAATCGGTCCAGTCGTTTGAGAGAAGTTCAGTGACATACACACTCACAGAAGAATTATATATATAAAGATAAGTAAAGAAAGAAATACTTAGCGGAGTTATCTTAAAGTACTTAGAACTAACAATTTTATTTGATTTCGAAATAAAGTAGGTACCAATGTAGGCTAAGTGCTTACATATTGAATAGTATTTATCTAAGAAGAAATATATTTATTCTAACTATCTGTACTAATACACTTAAGTATAATAAATGTATGTTTAAAGGATCCGACTTCAAAGGATTGAGTATCCTTTGAAGTCGGATCAATTCGTCTGTTTTATAAATATTATATGTTCTGCATTATCGCCAATTGTAATTAGTTTGTCTTTTTATTTTTTTATTTAGACGCGTGGACGTCGAAAAGGGCTGATTAGTATTATATATATATATATATAAAACAAAGTAGGTTTTGTTACAACACTTAAAATTCGAGAACGTCTGGGCTCATTTATGATCTTTATTTTGTTGGATTTGTCTCCACCCCGAATAGTAGAATTACCATTAAAACATCGGAAAAATTCATTTTCACATTTTGCCTGACACTAACAGTATTATGTTAGCTGACCCGACACACCTTCTGTCCCAATTACAATTAATTTAATCTTCGTTTTTGATACACAAGTGCTATAGAAAAATGCAGTATCAGGTTTTTCCTGAATTTACCAGTTTTTCAGTCTAATTTTTTATGTGTCATTATGCTTTCAGAGTTTTTTTGAGCTCCCCAGTAACTTAATAATCTTGGTATCTCGGTATCTCGGTACTCGGTAATCTCGGTATCGTAAATAATCCCCGTGGGACCACTATATTCAATAACAAGTAGTTTTTGAGGAACGTACGGGATGAAATTAGAGCCTGAGTAATATGAGGGCGGATAGGTTTTTTATAAATCTGCTTTTAGTGAATATATATCTGTTTATATAATTGTCTGTGATGTGTGCATGCCTAAGCTCTTCGATTCGTGATAAAATTTTACGTTGATGGAACATCCTAGAAAAGACATCCTATAAAATTTGTAATATACTTAATTTCATCAAACTACTATAGATGGCACCTACAATTATAGAAGTCAGAGCAGATTGCTTCTGTTATAAAAAATAAAATAAATTTGTAATTATTTGTCTTGGCTCAATAAAAAATAATAAAATTATTATTAAATATGATAAGTATCAAGTACCGTCAGGGCTAGTGCCTAGAATAAGTTACATCTGGATGCGTAACACAAAACAAAGCCAACAAACTCAATGGCGACCAGTAGATTTTTATTTAATAAAACTGGGTCCCAGTAAATGTTTACACAATTTAAACTAACTCTACTTTTATCACCGCGTCAGGGAAATTAGTGTTAACTCGTTAAACTAAGTTAAGTGGCCAATCATTCCTTTTACCAAATTACAGAGTATATTGAGATCGAGATAAAAACTGAGCGCATGAATTTCGTAGAAAGATCTAACTGATGCAACGTGGGCCACACGACGTCGTTTCCTGCTTGCCATGAGTTAAAGGCGATGATTTGACCGCTGTAATTAAGCTGCATTAGTATTGGTGTCGATTTTAATTAAAACTGTTTATTTACAATAGAGGAAATTACAAATATACTTATTACTTAATTATATTTACAAAATGGTTTGTGTGGAATGGCATGGCAGAAATTCTAGCCGCATTCCTAAAGCGACCTCGTGGCCCTGTCTCTTGCGAACGGGATCACCGTTGTGGTCTTAAAGGATGGTCTGTCGCGCTTCCCGCGGCAGGAGTCCCACATAGCTCGCGCGCCCCCTACGCCCAGGCTTATATGAATTTAAGATTAAGATTGTATTAAGATATTATTAAGATATTAATAAGATATTATTAAGACCATCCTTTAAGACCACCACGGTGATCCCGTTCGC